AACATCAATGATGCATGAAAACCTTACATCTTGTCATCAATTGATTTCAGTGAAGGAATAATTCAATCATCACAATATTTGCTTTATATCAAGCCATAAGGGAACTAACTAGTCAACAGAAATTGTTTTAGGCAAAGGCTTCGAGGTGCTAGTGATAACACTTTATTTTTATATAATAATTAATATAAAAATAAAGTATTTGTTACATGAATCAAAGTAAAATATGAATTATTTAAGTAAAAACGTTGGTACTAGTTTGAGAATGATGTGATGAATTTATCTTTGGTGTGCTAATTTGTATGCTTTATGTGATATGGATATATTTCTAATTATTAACCAATGTGCTAGTATGATTATCGAAGAATTATAATCTTGAACATTATTTTACAACTGATGGTAATTTATACATGATGTTAAAATTAAAAAAATAGATTTATCTTAGATTTTTTTAGATAATTTAAATCAAATAATGAGAACAAGATATATCAATTGATACATCACTAGGATGATATGTCAAGTGTTTATAGGCCAAGTCATCATTTTAGGGCCATGTCAATAGGTTACCATGCACATACATGTCATCTTCCATGCTCATTTTTTTTCTGATGAAATGGATAGAGATAACTTTGGATTTCACAATGGTTTTTGAGATATTATTGCATGAAAACCAGAAGGAAGCTGTAGGGAAAAGAGATGGAAGTTTTTAAACGATAAAAGTGGAAGATAGAGGAATTTGAGAGTTTATTTTAGCACTTATAAGTTTTGTTTCTCCTTTGACTACTTTTTATTTTCATTTATTCTCAATCCATCGACTAGGTGACAAGTAGACAACGAGATTAAGGCTTTAAATATAAATTTTTACAATTTTTTAGACTGATATTTTTAATACTCTATTTTTGAGTGACAAATGTTGTTTACAAATTATATTTCTATGTTGATTTTATTTTATTTTATTTTATTTTATTTTCATTTCAGCTTATTTAGTCATTTGGGTGACAAACAGATGATGTGACTAAGCATTTTAATCCATTATTTTATTACTTTCAATTGAAATTTTCCATTTCAATTTCTTATTGTGACAATACTCTATTCCTAGGTGGCAGTTAGGGAGGAGTTCGTGCATTTATTTATTTTTAGTTATTTGTCTTGCAATTTTGGTGATTCTAATGAATGTTAAGTTGCTTATGGTTGTTGAAGAAATTTAGTTTCATAGATTAGCTGAGTTTTATACAAACTTGAATTGAAATATTTTTTCCATTTTTCCACTTGTGAAGTTACTCTACTAGTGGGTGGTTTTAGATTTTGGTTTTATTTTCAGTAATTATTTTTATGATTGTAGTTTCTCAAATGAAATTATACCTAGTTAAGATCATTTATATTGATTTATTTCGAAGAAATACTTTTTTAAGGAATTCATCTTAAATCTTTTTCCATTTCACCAACCCACAAGGAGACCCTATTCATAGTCATATTCTCTCTCTCCCCCCTATTTTCTCGATTTTAAGTTTATTTTCATCATTTTATTTTATTTTTGAGATTTTCTCTATAATTTTCTATGTAACGTTTTGCAAGTCTTGAGTCATTTATCAATGTTGAACATTAGAACACATCAAAATTCAAAGATTTAGAACTCAAGTAGTTGGGAAGATTGAAAACATAGACAAGATTATTTCCTTTTTTTTATTCGTTACTATTAATTTTTATTTCAATAAATTATTTAGAATGAAAAAGTCATATTGAGAATGATTATGATCTTTGTGGACAACCTGAATTCACTAAAATTTAATTTTAATTCTCTTTTGAATTCAGTTTGTAAATATTTGAAATTTGATCTTTGTTTTTTTACAAGGGCCAAAGTCACATTAGTTGGTAATCATATTTGACTCAATAAGGACTTGGTTTATGAGGAGATGAACTTGAGGGTTTGGGTGAATAATTTCATGAATATCCATGTGTATTTTTTAGAATAATAGGTATATATACTAGAAAGACGTTCCCTTTGAGACTAGAAGTAGCCAAGTGAGGGACGAATGAACATAAAAAGTAGTATGTTCTTAATGAGAGAGAGCTAAGAGGTCATATCGTGATATTTGTGGGTCAACACATTCTCAGCAGATAGATAAGTCTAACTTAAATTGAAAAATTGGCAGAAAGCCTAAAAATCTCAATTCACTGCTCATCTTGGTGCTTCACCTAGCCTTATAATTTCAACAGTAACAAGTAATTGAGGCACTAACAAGACAAGCATGTAGCTTGTTGAGATAGAAGCAAGATGAGCTAGCAACCTAGTGAGACACCACTATGATGAGCCCACAGCTTGTTGCTCCTAAACTCTAATGATGAGGAATATCATATCATAGTACCCTTACATCAACAATATTACTTTCTTGCTAACTCTTCAACTCTTTATAGTTTTTTTTTTGCCCATGATTACATCATCTACTATCCCAAATACTAAAAGATTTAACTCCTCTACTAACCTTTCACTAGTAAAGTTACAATTGGCGTCATAATCCTAATAGTGATCAAACATCCTTTATAAATCATTTCAATTTCATAATCCCAAGTTCTTAAAGACCTACAACTGAGTTTAGAGATATTTCTACCTTCTTAAGAAGTTATTCCTCTTCTTCATCACCCACCTTATCACCCTCGGCCACTCCTAATTCTCACTAGTCTTCTCTCATAACACAATCATCTTAAGTTGTTTCTTATATGAATGTCTTGATGAAATTTTTTGTCATGATAATATGTACATGATGAATGATGACTAGTGGAAGAAAAGTTTCACTTCTTACTCTCTTACAATATAACATTACTTGCATGCCCTGGTTTGTGTCACTTGCACTTCTACGGTTTGTGTGTGAAGGCTTTTGAATTTTTTCCTTTTTCTTGCACTCATAATTCCTTAGTTGGTGAATTCATGGTCCCTAAGGTAACTCAGATTTCATGTCTTTCACAAATTATGTAATCTTCTCTTAATACTACTCTCTTAAAGGAGCAATATTTTCTTATTTACACTCCCTTTACATGATTGTTCACTTAGGCAAGATAGTCTTTTACTATGTCTAAAATAAGTGATGGCTTTATTTATATCAATATCAAGAGAAAAGATTACTGATAAGTCTTCATTATTATGAGTTAATAATTAGTAAATAATATAATTTTAGCTTTAACTCGTGATAAATAGACTTATATTTATGTTAAAATATAAAAAGTAGTTTTTAGTTGATTAACATAAATTTTTAAGTAATTATGTAATTTTATATAAATTTCTATGATTTTTATAATCTTACTTTTGAGATAAATGAAGAAAAAAAAATTAAAATAAAAATATAGCAAAATGGGGAGGACCTGTTGACCAGCCAGGCCCGCAAGCAAATGGGTCAAAAGCACAGTCGAGAGGAGCCACAAATAGAGGCTTAAGTGGCTTGGACCGATAAGGACACGTGTGCGCTACTCCCCTTCTATGTCACTGGTGGCCAGCTAGCTATAGGGCAAGGAGTGGTCGTACATGCGCAAAAAAGGGACTTGATTGCAAATGTAATATTACTATATATTCGTCAAAAACTTCGACACACAAGCGATGTGGGACTAAACTTGTGTCACACCTTCCCTAAAAAAGACAGGCAACCAATGTGGATTTGAATCTTCTTAGAGCCAAAACTCATATTTTTTATATGATTATTATGACTTTTTTGCAGATCGTCAATAAAAGATTAAGTCACTAGAATCGCTAGATCATTGACAAAAATATCGTCAATGCGATTTGCGGAGCATTATTACTAAAATTATTGAACGATTTACGATAAAAAAATCACGAATCCAGCGAGTAAAGCATCTCCAATTAGTCAACGAACAAGCTGTCATCGAGAAAAAGACGATCTGCCGAAAGATGAGTCACTACCTTCTAAGAGCATACCGGATGCAATGAAGAGCCTCTTCTTATTATGTGGACCTGAAGATGAAGCTCTCTAGCATACACCCCACGTCTATCTAGTTCTTCTCTATTAGATGACAGCTGTCGAAGACGATTCGATGACCCATTTTATTGATCTCTAGACTTTACAAAGAGATCTAAAGATTGTTCATGTTGTCTTTGTCTAAGAAGAGCCTTTGAGGTCATAGACACTAGACGATGATTCTTTCGAACACTTAGGATTTCAGTGTATTGTCAATGCATCACCGTTGCAACACCGGAACTCTGTTTTCTTACTTTCAACTTATTTTTTACTTCATTTAGTAATAATTTGTGTGATTTAAATTTACCAAAGATATACTTTATTCTATTACGATTCTTTTGACTTTTACAGATCTTAATTTGATCAATTAAATCATCTGTAATCACTTACATAAGAATCGTCAGACATAACTCTATTTCCGCCCGATTCACGTTTGTTGTACACTAACGTCATCCTGACGTCCACACCCTTATTTTCCTTTTTTGTGAATTTTAAATATATTTCCTTTTTATTTCCTAATATAAAATTTATAAAAAATAAGATTATTTAAGAAAAATTCTAAATAATTACCTGATATTATATTACATCTATGCGATCGACCTAGAAAATTACCACTATTTTTAGAAATTTTATTGAATTATAATTGATATATTTGTTCAGAAATATTTCTAAATATCTAAAAATATATATTTTTTAATTTTATAAAATTTAAATTTACATGATTTTCTATACAACGAGTAAATGACATCAATCACTTTCTCTTGTTAACATCATCTAGCTACAAGGAGAGGGAGAGAGAGGTTCGAAGAATGTCTTTTTGGTTAGAGCTATAATACATCGGAGGGCCAATCACTTGACAATTTCATCTGTAAAACCAAACCCAAAAGGAAAAATAAAGGGTATCAAGAGAAAGAAATACTCTACTGCTAACATCAGTTAGCTATGGAGAGAGAGAGAGAGAGGCAGACAAATAGACAAAAGGTGAGAGAAAGAAGAGAGAGAAACAAAAGACCCGGCCATAGCTGACTGCACATCTATTCACTCCCTTGGAGCAGTGTTGACCTGCCTGGTAAGATAAGCCTCATAGATCTCCACAACGAGCCTTGGGTCCTTCTCCACAAGCTCCCTGTACTCCTCCCTCGCAGTAAGCATGCTCATGTTGTCCAATATCAGTGCCAGGGCGGTCTCCAGCAGCATCCCAGCATTGTGCCGGTGTGCAAAGGCAAAGCTCATCACTGCTGTCTCACCATTGACCTTGGAAATCATGAACTTCTCACAGAAGACCTTGAGGTGCTTCACTTGGTACCTCTCGGCCAGCACCAATAGGTCACAGGCCATCTGCTCATCCAGCAGTGCCTCCGCCGTGTAAAGGTAGTGGATGAAGGTCTGGAGGACGGTGTAGGAGACATCGGCGATCTTGATGGTGCCGCTCTGGCTCTCCTCCATCTCGCTCTCCAGCATGGCCTTGAAGACAGGCGAACGGCTCATCTGGAGATGCCCCAGGTTGGTTTAGGCAGTAATCTGGATGACTGAAGATCAAGGACGGAGCAAACAAGCAAGATTTTGAATCGTAGATGCAGAAATCGTGAATCGGGTTCACACAAACATACGAAGATTGTTTTTTGTTTGAGGGATTCCTTTTCTCTTGAGGAAGAAATGATATTTCCATCAACGTTATATGGTTTCAATAAAAAATATTTAAATGATTCGATGGGTTTTACTAGATATATATATACACGATGATTAGAGTGCCTTGACGTTGGAAATTTCCAGGATCATACCATTCGGCTTCTCCTAAAGAATTTATCAAGATAGTTTCGTGTTTCAGGATTTCTTTTGTGATATGATTCGCTGGAGGAAGATTTTTTAGAAAGAAATCCATCAACACTGCATGCAAGTCAAGAAAACACATTTAATTTTTTTTGAAAGGCTTTATCCAATCAACATACACACACACGTTGACAATATTGTTTCTGTTTCAGGAATTTTTTTATGAAGAATCAAGTTAAAGAAGAAATTCAAGAGAAAAAAATATTTCCAATCAACATACATGCATTCTACATAAATAAATTTAAGTGCTCTAAGAGGTTTTATCCAGTTATCTGTGAACGCTCTAAATGCTCTAAATGCACTCTACATTTATAATTATCTGTGAATGCTGACCGCATATGCTCTTTCTTCAGGATTTATTTGTACTCTGGTTCAAGGGAAACAGGAAATTCAATAAATAAAACAAGATTTACAGGTAGCAGAGTATGCATTCTAGAAAAATAGATCAAACAGAAACAAATCCTTCCTTGAAGATATTAGCCCTGTTAGAGATTAATAGCTTCTCGTACTCTTCAGTAGTGATTCTTAAAATATCTTAAGAAGGCAATTATATTCCACCACTGTAAGCGATAGATTATCAACGAGATCGCATCTTCTCTTCTATCTTTCCTCTCAAAGAAGCCCTATATCATCAGTGACCCAGCTGATCCAAGCGAAGAAGCTTGGGCACCATTGATTATGAGTGAAGGGATTCTTCCCTGATCTCCCAGTCGATGGCTCCTTCTAGGCAATCAAATAATCCAGTAAACGGGGTGAAGATAAAGAAGGACAAGAGAGAAGAACATCGGACCATCTACCAACATTTGAGCACGAGAAATTGTTCTTCGATTTGGTCCAGGTGATTGATTTTAACTAAATAATGCTCGGACCTATGTAGGGACTTATGAAATATTTATCAAACTAGGTGCTGAATTAAATCTCATAAGCCCAATCAAGCATTGAAGGCGCCATAGATACTATTGGAATTCACAAAGCTCTGAAAAATTGTCACACAGAGATTATGGTTTTTTCTTGGCGAGTTCTGCCAACGCATTTCTCCAGGAAGAAAGTAGAGGAGCATCGAATCCGTCGGAAGAAAGTCCAAACTTTGGTTAACAAATTTAGAAACAAATCATCGGAATTTTTTAGCTATTTGTCTAAACTTGGATCGCTATTCCGTGATTGAAGCAACAGTTTCCTCAGTTTTCAGCGGAATTCCACTGGAATCCATCCTTCGATCTTATAAGTTGAGGTGGAGGAGAGAATTTACCAGGACTGCCTTATGAGCGGGGATCGGAGCGTAGACGACGCAGTCACTGCCACTGGACCAGGTGTGAAGGGAAATATCGGCGGTGGCGGCGGATGGGGAGGCGGGGAGGTGGGGGTCGATCGGGGAGCAGAGGCGCAGGAAGGAGACCTTCGCCTTGAGATCCTCGATCTCCCTCTTCAGCTCCTCCTCCGTCTCGCTCGCCTCCTCGTAGCACTCCTTGCACGTCCCCGCGTCCACATCCTCGTACTCCTCCCTGCACGAGTGGCACCACATCCTCCCTCTCACTCTCTCTCTCTCTCTCTCTCTCTCTCTCTCTCTCTCTCTCTGCCTCCCTCTCTCCCTCAGGCAGCAGTCATAGCTAAAAGCAGGCGGATTGGGCCGATGCTCTTCCAACCTGATGATGGGCCTACCAGGTCAGCCCGGAACTTGACAATCAAGCCCAAATTGTCCTCGCTGACCCAAAATGGCCTCAATATCCTATCCGGACCACAGTCCTCTCTCTCTCTCTCTCTCCCTCTCTCTCTCTCTCTCCCTCTCTCCCTCTCTCTCTCTCTCTCCCTCTCTCTCTCTCTCTCTCTCTCTCTCTCTCGGTCCACGCAAAGGAGATGTGATGGTAAATACGTTGAATTTCACATAAATAGTATATTAATTTAAATTCAAAATAAAAAAGAATTTCCGACAGCTCGGTTTTAATGGGCCAGATTAGGCCCGATATCTTAGTTGGAGTGGGCCTAAAAATATGGTCCAAAGACGAGAGCACTATGGATATTGGGTCAGGCCCGTATGTGCTCTCCCACGTGGCTTAGTGGGCCTAATAGCGACGCCGGGGAGGTGTTTTGTCCCCATGCGGATGGGCCCCCAGCCGACAAGACGACGACGAGGCCCAGGAGTCCGTCCAAAGATGGGCCACGTGGACGACAGACTAGAGGATTCGTATCCCCTCAGGTGGATGGCGACGCTACGTGGATCCTCCGCCCCATATCCGCCGTTAATTTCATCCCATGAATCGGCTATTTTTCCGATTATGTTGTAATATTGTCTGTAACGTTTTTATAAATTTTAATGGGGGATTTTATGAGAATGTACCAGGAGACTCCCTCTCTCTCTCTCTCTATTTCTTTAATGTTCGTAGTAACTTTAATGTGGACTTTTCTGACAATGTACATACGTCGAAGCCGCCGCTGATACTGATAAATCGACTAGCTTTCCGCCACCCATCTTCTTCTTTTCCCCCTCCCCCCACATTGCAGCCATACCTTCTCTCTCTCCTCTCTCTCCTCTCTCTCTCTCTTCTCTCTAAATTCTCTCTCTCTCTCTCTCTCTCTCTCTCTCTCTCTCTCTCTATCTGTAGCTAAACTGGTAATGGAGTCGAGGAGTTCCCCGGTGGTCATCTGCACAGGGGTAGAGGCGCAGGAGAAGAGGAGCAGCAATAGCGGCGGCGGCGGCGGCAGCGGGGGCGTCGTCTTTGACTCTTTGCTCATGCAGAAGAAGAACAAGATCCCGCGGGAGTTCATCTGGCCATCGAGCGAGAGGCTGCAGACGCTGGACGAGCTGGCGGCGCCGGTCGTTGACCTGGGCGGCTTCCTGAGTGGGGACGAGGAGTCAACCCTTCGCGCCGCTGGGCTCATCGCCGCCGCCTGTAAAGTCCACGGCTTCTTCCAAGTGACCAACCACGGCGTTGACCTCGCCCTCATCGCCGCTGCCGTTGACTGCCTCGACGCCTTCTTCCGCCTTCCCCTCCGCCATAAGCTCCGAGCCCGGCAGCTCCCCGGCAGCCTCTGTGGCTACGCCGGCGCCCATGCGCACCGTTTCTCCTCCAACCTCCCCTGGAAGGAGACCCTCTCCTTCCCCCACATCCACTCCGCCGCCGTCGCCGGCTCCCGCGACGGCGCCGTCGTCCGCTTCTTCACTTCCATCCTCGGCAAGGATTTCGAAGCCATGGGGTAACCATTTCTGAATATCCTCTCCTTACTTCTCCGGCGAGGGCTTACTGATTCGAACGACTTCATTGTTGCAGGTGGGTTTACCAGAGGTACTGTGAGGCGATGGAGGAGCTCTCGCTGGCGATAATGGACCTGCTGGGGGTGAGCTTGGGGGTGGGGAGGGGACATTACAGGAGCGTCTTCGAGCAGGGGAGCTCCATAATGAGGTGCAACTACTACCCGGCTTGCCCGGAGCCGGAGCTGGCGATGGGGACAGGCCCACACTGCGACCCCACCGCCATGACCGTGCTCCACCAGGACCTCGTCGGAGGCCTCGAGGTCTTCTCCGGTGGGCGGTGGCGCGCGGTCAACCCAGTGAGCGGGGCGCTCGTGGTCAACATCGGCGACACTTTTATGGTATTCTTCTTGCGATGGGGGTGGAGAATTTGGGAAGATGAGTGGGGAGGGGTTAGAGGGAGGAGAAGAGAGATTCACATGATGGTTGTGGTAGGAGAGAGAGAAGAAGAAGAAGAAGAAGAAGAAGAAGAAGACGATTGTCCGCGTAGGAAGACGACGAGGGGCCTTTTGTCGGAGGAGTCGTCCAGTGGTGATGGGGGTTTGGGACCCTCGACATATCGGCCTTCTGTCGGTTTTCTATGTTTTCCTACCCTCCCTCTCTCTCTCTCTCTCTCTCTCTCTCTCTCTCTCTCGCTATCCCTCTCCCTCTCGTTCATCTCACCTCTCTCTCTATCGGCCTTCGGTCTCTCGCTATCTCTATCTCTGTCTCTCTGTATTTATCCATCCATCACATTTCTCTCTCTCTCTCTCTCTCTCTCTCTCTCTCTCTATTCTCTCTCACCTCAGATCGCTAAACCTACTATCGGAGGAGCAACGCCGGTGCAACTCCGGTGGTAGCCGTCCTTTAGGTCATGCCACGGGAGCCTCCGGCGACCTTTCTCCGCCCTACTTTCCTCTCTCACTCTGGCATTATCTTCCTCCACAGGCGCTGTCGAACGGGAGGTACAAGAGCTGCCTCCACAGGGCGGTGGTGAACAGGAACCAGGAGAGGCGATCCATCGCCTTCTTCCTCTGCCCCAGAGACGACGAGCTTCTGCGGCCGCCGGAGGACCTCGTCGGCGACGGCACCGCCGCCGCCGGCGACAGAAGGAAGTACCCCGATTTCACGTGGTCGGAGCTGAAGGAATTCACCCAGAAGCACTACCGAGCCGACACGAAGACCCTGCAGAGCTTCTCCGAGTGGCTCCTCCGCCATCCACGGCGAAGCTCCTGACGCCGGCGGCGGCGCCGCCTGCTCAGATCGCTTGGAGCTTTCGCCGTGAGGCTTTAATGATTTGGGTCCCGCCGGTGATGACAAGAAGACGGGAGGGGACTCGACAAGAAGACAGAAAGAGAGAAAACCACGGGCTGATAATTATATGTTTATATTTCTCAATTTCAAAGGTTACTATAAATAACATCTTTATAGTATTTGGTGTTTTCTCCATGGGCCAGCCCAAGCCCGATAGGCTTCGGGGTGTAAGAGAGAGACCGATGAGAGAGAGAGAGAGAGTTAGACAGAGAGCGAGAGAGATACAGATGTATAGACACAGAGCGAGAGAGATGTAGCTAGATAGATAGATAGAAAGAGGAGAGAAAGAAGAAGAGAGACCGATAGAGAGTGAGCGAGAGAGAGAGAGAGAGAGATTCCATGAGATCGGCCTATTAGATTCGGATGAACCTGCGGATGAGGAGAGGGCCAGGAAAAGGCCAACGTGGTCTCCCTTGGAATAAGATCCAAGCCAAGAAGCATGGCTGCGCAGAGAGATAGATTTGGTCGTTGGACGGGTCTCCGAGAACAGTAGCGGCTGAGGGAGGAAGACGACGATATAACCAACAAGCTCTGCATGTTTCAACCGCCATGCGGTCCCCCTCCACCGTCGCTGAGAAAAGAGGATCATCCCCGAGGAGGAAGAGAACGGAGGAGCCCATTAATGGCCGGAGGAACACGATGACCAGAAATAGGTTTTCCATTAATGACCTCTCTTCCGTTTGTAGAAAATGAAAAACAAAAAATAGAAGTAAACCCACGTAATTATACAGAGATTACTCCACCTGACCCCACATCCCAGGTCAATCTAAGAGTCAGAGTCTTGTTGACTTCTCCAATTCTCACGTGAAAAATTGGGCCTAGTCAACGTCTAGTTTAAATAAACGAGGGCCAAAAGCCGAATATTGTTAAATAAAATTTTAAAATAACCATCAATGACGGAGATTTCCCAAAGTTTTCTCATAAATTAAATGAGACCCACCAAAGTCCTCGGTCAACACTCTGCAAGCTTATGAGCTCTTGACGAGGAGAGGAGGGGATTCACCGGTGGAGGTGCTCTAAGCTGCCAGGGACTGATGGCGGGCAGCTTGGGAGGTGGTGGCGGAAGCCCTGGCGGCGCACACCCACTGCCTGGGGGAATCGATGTCATCTCCTTCGACCGTTGGCACGTGCCATCGGCCACCCTCCGACTCCTGGTCAACCATTGCCGAGGCCATTAGATGTGAGAGAATGGAGAGTGAGATGAGAGAGAACGGGGGAGATGGTGGAAGTCTCACCTGTATAACGATGGAGTAGGGAGGCGGCATGTGGAAGCTCAACCCGCTCCTCGAAAATTTAAGACGGACCTGCAGAAAAAATGTAGTTTGCACTGGTGTGAGGGGGGCTATATAACTTGGGTCAAGTGATGTTGGGCCGAGAGAGAGAGAGAGAGAGAGAGAACCTGGTGCTTCTCCTTCCATCTTGGGAAGAAGCTCGTCCCCAGCAGCTGAAACAAGTGATCCCTCATCTCATCATTTGTGACCAACAAAGATCGGCAACTCACCGCCGCATAAAGCCAGTACCTGCAATGAATTATCGACCATAAATTCATAAAATTCAGAACTTCTTAAAGTCTATCTCGCTCATCCAATGACAGTCCATCTCTCTCTCTCTCTCTCTCTCTCTCTCTCTCTCTCTCTCTCTCTCTCTTCCCCACTCTAAGGTGCGTGCATATGGTGTCCCAGGTGAGATTTTCCAGGCTTTTCTCGGCGATGGGACCTGATAAAATATGACTCTTATTGTAGTGGGCTTGGCAAACCCTGGACTTGACCCATTTATCTAACCTTTAAATTAATATAAATAAACAAAATGGAGAAAAATCAGTTCATGGAGATATTAGGAATTAAAATTATCTCAAATAAAATGAGTAAAAATTGTTGGATAAATGATCAATCAAGTAAAGGGCACATAAGAGAAAGTGCTGACCAGTCATCATTGGATCCAGGTGGCGTAGAATAGAGGGCCCCGCTCCTTTTCCAGCTCTCCAGAAGCTTCTTATTGTTCAGGTTGTCCGCAGGGCCGCCCTTCACCCGCCGGCTATGCAAAACAACAAGTGGCGGTTTTTTTGCTGGACTCATTTGCCGGATCCCATTTACAACAGAATTCAACTGCCACAAAAGTCAACCGCCTCTTGAGCTGAACAAGTCCCCTGATCCCACTCCCGATTTAGAAATAGATCCTGGGAGGTTTCTTTTTTTTCTTTTTTTTCTTTTTTGTAGAGGAGCGGGAGAGTGAGGATTGTGGGGCCCAGATTATCCAAAGGAGGAAACTTTACCTGGAAAAAGCTGAAGTGGTGCTGGTTGGCAAGGCCCACATTGGCACCATCAATCACGGCATCGAACGGTCCGTTGCGGTCGAGCCACTCCTGGACATGATCAAGAATCTCAGATTAATCCATCTTCCACTCTGTTGTGTGGTCAACTTATGAACTCGCCATATATATATATATATATATCAATGAATACGACTATGGAAAATATCAAGAAGAGTAAGAATCTTCAGGATTATCATGTCTTCATGTCCCCACTGTTGATCGAAATCAGACCCTCGGTTTCGAGGCATGGGCCCAGCATGCTAATGCCCGTTGACTTGGTTCAATACTTCCGGAGAGTACCAGGGCTGTAGTTTCTGTGATCCACTTCCCAGAGTCAACCAAGGATGTCAGCCCAAATGGAATGATGTGGCTGAGAGAAGGGTCTTAGGCTGACCCGTCCAAGTCAAAACTTCCCCACAAAGAACGGAAAAGACCCATTTTTATGCATAAATTATGCAAAATAATATGCCGGATGAGAATACGAATATGGAAATTCTCAAGAACAATACGAATCTTCATGATTATCATGTCTCCATTTTTAGAATAGTTTCACATCGAAATCAGATCCTCAGTTTCGATGCATGGGCCAAGTTTGCTGGCTGCCCGTTGATTTGGTTCAGTACTTCCAGAGAGCAACTGGGCTATAATTTCTATGACTCACTTCCCAGAGTCAACCAAGTTGCCAGCACACATGGAAGGGGTGGCCAAGAGAACGGACTCAGGCTGTTCCATCCAAGTCAAAACCACCCCACAAAGAACGGAAAAGACCCATTTTTTCTGTACAATCCAGCGCATTTAACCTCAGACTGAGTAAATATACATGAATTATGAAAAATTATGCGCCGGATGAGAAAGAAACAGGCGATGATGCTACAGCGGTGAATGCAGAAACCATCAGCTCTGCCATCTAAAACCTCAGCAGCAGAGAGACAGAATTTCCTCATTACGGATACTAGGATTATGGATGAAGGGAGGAAGAGAGAGAGAGAGAGAGAGAGAACTAACCTGGAACCGGTTGAAGTCTGCCTTGACCTCACGCTGGGAGGCTAAGGTGGCGAGAGACTTGGCGAAGTTTTCAGTCTCCACTGGGTCGATGTCTATGGAGACGAGCTTCTCCCCGCACCGGTTGCAGACGCCAGCGCCACTGATCCCCGTCCTCCCAACACTCCACCGCCCAGTCCCCAGCCATCCCTGCCCGTGCCACCCGCCGCCGCCGCTGGCGGTCCCGCTTCGGACCTTCTCGGCGTCCCAATCTTTCAACCCAACCAGTCCTGCCGCCTCCGACTGGAACCATCCCTCAGCAATCTCCGCGGTGGCGGCGGAGACCTGCCTCACGGTGGACCGCAGGCGGTGCAGCAGGCGGTAGACGTGACCCGCCTCGCCGGCGGCGGCGCTGACCCGGAGGAGCGCGGATAGCTCCTCCTCCTCCGGGAGGACGCCGGATTCCGCCATGTGAGCTTCCACCTCGAAGGCCCTCTCTGTGTCGCCATTGGAGCAGAAGCCAAAGAGGGCTGGCCCGTAGGTTCTCAGCTTCGGTGGGATCCCCGAGCTCGACATTTCCTCGATCACCTTGAAGGCAAGCTCCGGGTCCTCCTTTGCAGCGGCCAATCGGGCGAGGCTGGTGAAGGTGGCCTCGTTGGGGGGCACCGAGTCGAGCTCCATCTGCCGGAAGATCTCGAATCCCCTCTCTATGCCCAGCTTGGCTGTCTCGGGCAGCGGCGCCGCCGTAGAGGGCGGCGAGGGCTCGTCGGCGCCGGTGGGGGGAGGGGAAGTGCAGACGTAGAGGAGGACGTTGTAGTGGTACTGGGAGAGGGGAACGCCATGAGCCCTCGCTTCGTCGTACAGGCGGAGGGCTTCCCGTAGATCTCCCCGCTTGGAGCACATGTCGAGCTTGTGGCGGAGGAACCCTTCTGGAGATTCTCTCCGGGCCTTGAGCATGGCCTTGCGGGAGAGAGGGCTTTCTTGGGGAGCTTGTGAGTTCGGCTTCTTCTCCGGCGGCGGCGCCGGCGGAGCATTGGAGGAGGAGGGGGAGGGGGCGGCGCCGCCGTTGATGTGGCGGTGGTGGCGGTGGAGGGGCCTCTTCCTGGTGGCGCTTGTCTCCTTGAGGGAGAATAGGAGAGGGGCGGAGTGGAGGACCCTGCTGGCTCCGGGAACATGGCGGCGGCGAGGGGTGAAGAGGGAGAGGGTCCTGGAGAAGGTGGCGAGGAAGGGGGAGGAGGAGGAATTGAGGCGGAGCATCGGCGGAGGGAGGGATCCCGCCAGATGATGCATGAGGAATATGGCGGAGGATTATCGGCGGCGCCGCCGAGAGAGGTTCATGCAGTCGCCGCCGTCCGCCGCCGCTCCTCTGCAAGTCTCACCTCCCCCCTCGCCCACTGAGAAGACCCACACCCGGAGCTTGTCTAATAGACCCACCCACCTCTTGCGGATAACCAGGGGGAGAAGGACGGAGGTTGACCGGACATAGTGGTCAACGATTTTTCCCTATTCATTTTAAAAATCCACGAATTTTAATTTTGAATTATATACTTATTTTGAAAGTCAACTTTATTTAATTGGCCGCTGACTTAATCTGGGGGATCTCTTAGGCCGCATCATATCTCGTTGGATCTTGCTCAACACATTTTTAAGATTATTGGATATTTCTATGTATTCAGAGGTAGGCCCACATATTGGCCCCTTATTGGACCGTTGACTATAGGATCAAAGGCCCAATAATGCCAATGGGCTTTACCCTTCATAAAAAAAAATGGACCACATTGACCCACCACTGAGAACCAGTTTTTATGTATTCATTTATGCCACGTTTTCGACCTTGAATGAGAAAGAAGGAACAGTCCGGAAAGAACTCATATTGTGATCCGAGACCGAGATATTTTATTGTAGGGCATTGTTTTTGTGACTTCTAAGTTCGATACCCCCTCAAGGTACTATTGGATCCAGTTGACCTTTGGGGTTAGACCCAATAAAGGTCATAATGGATCCTTTTGACTTCTGGGTTCGGGCCCAAATGACCAAGCCCGTCCCTAGAAACACCAAGCCGAGGACAATCATAAGGATAATTTGGCCTTAATTCTATAAGATCATACGATAAAAATAATAAACTATCTGATAATTCGAAGGAACAGAAAAGTACAAAATTGAAAAACTGAGGGGCTTACAACAATTCAATTATTTATGGGGAGTTAAAATCAAATAAAACCCTACCTTATGTTTTCACGCTCCACAAAGAGCAACACATGGAAATGCATCCATTTATAAGAAAAAAAGAAAAAACAAGCGCAAGAGCACTCCACTTGAACGCTTCCCAAAAACGCTATACATATTCCCACGAATTTTAAAAATAAGTCCTTCCCCCAAAAAAAGAGGGTCGTCCTGAAAGTTTCAGAAAAACCAGGGGGGTAAATGCAAACCTGCCCAAATCTCCCCACCTTCTCCCTCCCAAGATCCCCATTCTCATGAACACAAAAAGAAGCCGGTCAACTCACCTGATCAATGCCTGGTTTGTGAGAATCTACGATGTTGAAGATGCCCTGGCGGTGGTGGTGGCGGCGGCAGCATTGGCCCCAGACTCCGTAGGCCGCCATGTGGTCTTCTTCATCCACAACAATCCCTCCTTCCCCTTTGACTTTCCTACCTTGGCTTCGTAGTGCAGAGACCTGGCCATCTCCTCCACTTCGGCAACCGTCTCCTTGTTGTCTCTGATGATCAGATACCCTTCAGGCCTCAGAATCCGGTCCACCTCTGCCATCACAGGCAGTAATTTGCACCTGCCGTAGAGATTTTCTGTCGGGTCAATGGACAAGCTGGATGTGGAATCATTGATCGATAATGAGTTACCATTGAATTATCTTATCTCTCGGTCAGTAGTTCTCCAAAATGACGAATACATATAGAATATTCTGACTCATCATGTCAGATGATGAGAAATCCGAGGGTTCAATCTCTCCGGGATGATAAGTATGCTGATTCTACAAGGGCGTGGAGGAACTAAACATATATATGCATAGACTTTATTAAATTGTAGTCATAAATGACGAAGATATATATATATTTAGAAAATTATAAATCTGTTTGTTGTCTCCAGTCAGATCTTATCAGATGATGAGAAATCCCCCCAGGGCAGACTGTAAATGGCTTCGAGAAAAGGAAATATATATATTCATAGACTTTCATATTAAACTAGAGCGTTCAAGAAATAAAATGACTCGAGAGGAACAGCCGAAGCATGAAGTACGGATCTGACCTCTTTTTTAGGTTGGAAAAGAGATGATCGGCGTGGAGAAGATCATACGATCTGGGGTAAGTGCTGAAGGATTCACACCAGTCATGGTACATCCCGAACAGCCCTCGCTCGTAGATGATTGGAAGCGTGTCCGGGGAATCGATCGGAACAACGTTCATGACCCACACGCTGATGTCCCTCAGAGCTGCACCAAATCTGCCAGAAAGTTTGGAAGAACCGTGAAGCGATAACCTAATCGGACCCTCTTTTTTTTGGGGGAGAGGGGGGGAATTTGGAAAAGAAAAAGGCGAAATTTGAAATATATTTGGTAATAAAGTTGAGTGGGAATGATGGGGGGAGCTTGGTTGGTGCATTACCCTCCGTATATGGACCTCATGTCCATGACGTTTCTCACGTTGGACCAGTCGATGTCCATCCCATTGAGATATGAGGAGCTTACTACGTGCTTCCAATGCTCATAATCCGCTCTGAAGTCTTCTGCCGCAGGCTTGCCATAAACCCCCATCTGCGAGCTATTCAACCAGTACGGTGCAGCCTCCAGCCTCTGCGGCCACCGTTCAGGCCACTGTGATCCTCTCTCTGCAGGACTCACCGGCACTCGGTGCATGCACGCTTGCAATGATATGTTCCTGAGCACATGAAAAAACAGTAAAGGGACTTGATAGATAGATAGCGAGAGAGAGAGACAGACAGACAGACAGACAGACCAAGCTGCATCACGGTCATCAGATTCTTGGCAGAGGGGAGGATCGTTCTTCTCTCTGCTGTCATAGCACTGGTTAGAAGAAGGTTTCCTGTAGATGGCAACACCGACTCCATTCAAAGTATCTTTCTTTGTGGTCACAAGGTCCCAGCACATGGATTTTGTGAGCTCAGACATGGCTGTCCTCGGTTACAAGAGACAGCAGAATGTCAATCATAGTTCATGAGCATTGAAACATGAAAACCGATCATCATCGAAGATTTATGTTCCTATCTTATGTTGGCTCACCGTTCCAGATCTCAACATCTTCTGGCAGTTTTTGGTAAACAGGGGTCGCGGACCAGACAAAGTGGCCACCGGGACGTAGCAGTCGATTGAGCTCCAGGAGAAGTTTACCACCTGCGATCATCTCCAGGATGAAACTCGAAGAAGATAAACCTTTCCTTTAGTAGTAGAATAGGGGGATTAGTGTCGAGCAAGCTGCGAACTCACCTTCAATGTGCCAAGGGACCCTGCATCGAGCACAATGAACAACATCGAATATGAGGCTGGGGAAAGGGAGCCTCTTGGTGCCCATGACAGCTGAAATCGCGGGAATTCCTCTTTCAAGCGCGAATTGAACTTGGGCTTCGTGTTCGTCCTTTGGGGCAAAGGACATGGTGAGTACCTCTCTCTCAAAGAGATAACCGCCGAAGCTGGCAACTCCACAGCCAACATCCAATATCACACGGCTTCGCTTTCCCCAGGCTATGCCTGGTAAAATCTGCAAAGGAGATTTTATGCTATATTGTGAACATCCCCTCTACAAAATTTCGATTTCAATTTTTCACCTTGATACAATTCTTAAAAGAGAAGAGTCATGTTGCCGTTTACAGTAGCATTGGCGAGAGCAAGGGTCATGATTAGCATTGGCGAGAGCAAGGGTCACGATTCTTCTTTCTAAAATAATGCACATGAAAATTTTAAGCAGTAATGGAATTTTTATGGTGAAAATAGTTCAGTCGACAGCAAAGGACCAGAAGGAAATGAACATTCACTTGACGTGATCAGTAAATAGTAAATGGATGGACGCCAGTAGAATAGGAAATGAGGAAAGATGTGAAAGAATAAAAGTCAAAGGTGGACATCTAGTGCTGATTCATGCGTCAAATACGGGAAGGAATGTGCACTAATATCATCACTTATGGGCTAGGATTCTAATTAACACCAGGTTCGTGCAACATAAGGTTGAAGGACACGACTTATCAGACTCACATTTGCGAGGCAGACGAAATGTTTAAGGATGTTCTGTACCCATGTGGATGTGCTGGTCAAGCAAAGTCAGAGAAATGCAGAAATAAGCTACCACAGGAAGGATAAATAATTACCTCCTGAATGAAATCAATGTAGTGCAACGCACCGTGCTTAAATTGAGTCCCGCCACCAGGGAAAGTGAGGTACTCTCCAGTCACTTTCACCCAATTTTGATGCCCTTTCACCACTGCAAGTTTAGTATGAGGTACATTGAAGTACCAGATCTGCGAGAGATGATGAACGATTTTCATACTTAGATCTGAATGAGTCAAAGTTTTACCACTCATACAAACGAAGATTTACCTTGTCCCGGCTTACAGGCCACTTGATTGGTTGTCTATATCCCTCCGGCAAGGGAACAAGGCAAGTCGGACCTTCTTCAGGACAGTGCCTTTCTCGATGTTCATAGTGCTTAGTACTTCGGAGTTTCTTAATAGCATTCTCATTGTCAAGACAAGGTATGTAATCTGAACCAGCACTGACATTACAAAGCTTCCAGCTGAATCCAGTGATCTTTCGACTTGATATGGTTTCCTGGGCTTTTTTCTCATTTTTTGATTCTGTGGCCTGTGTAGACCAGGCCCCATTCTGACTGTTGGTCTCATTCAAAGTCTCTACCTGTGCATCATCATGAAACACGGTACTGGAGTTCTGCTCCCTGAACTGGTTGTCTATCTTGTCAACAGAACTTGAAACTGTTTCCTCGGCTTGTTTTTCATCCACCTTCTCCTCTATCTGGGCGTCAATATTCACATCTTGCATCCCGTCAGATTCTCCCCCTGCATCTGATCCACTTTCAGTCTGTTCGTTTTTTCTGTTCTCTACAGATTTCTTTTCTGTTTTTATTTCTTGATTCTCTTCCACTTTTCCCTCCGTATTCCCTGCATCAAATTTATCTTCTGAGTCTGATTTTTTTTCATTCTCAGATTGCTGTTTGTCATCCACCGAGGGTTCAGTTGGATTATGCCCATTGTTTCCATTTTCAAAGGGATCCTGCGTTGCATCCGTTTTCGTGACAACTCCCTCTTCCACATCTTCAATTGAACCTTGTCCTTGATTCCCGTCAGCATCATTGTATGTCTGTGCTGGCGATGCATCATCTGAACCTTGTCTGGTACCGACGTTTCCCTTCGAAGGAGCTTCTTCCTGAAAATCTACAGTCTGATCGTCACTCAATTTTTGGTCCGTAGAAGCCTCAGAACTTCCCTCACCCCAAGAATCGTTATTATCGGTGGCACTTTCAGCTTTCGTTTGACCTTCTGGTACATCTCCAGAACTGTCCTCGAATGGCATATCAGTCTGAACTTGGCTTTTAACATCAGATTTGGCCTCAGAAGTGGTTATATCGACAGGAACCACTGCTGACGATGTCATCATCCAGATCCCGACCATGCAAAGGCCAACAAACAAAACGAGGGTCACGGTTGAACAGTAGGAGGAAGAAGAAGGCCTCCTACCCTCCATACGGGGGTTTCTCCCTAACGCCATCTTTCTGTATTCAGCGTCCCCCAAAACAGTATAGATAGCTGCAAAAGAGGGAATGGGAAATAAAATATACATTAAATAAATCCATTCTATATGATAAACGAGATGTCCGTCCAAAAACGGGAAAGAGAATCTTTTTAGAAAAATGTCGAACCGCAATCATCAAGGAATCAGAAGCTGGAGGTCGAAACCGAGAAATTCAATTACTCCACAATCCCTCTCCACATTTCTCCTGACAGACGGTACGAAAGGAAGGAAAGTCCACGATGAAAATAGGAAAATAGAAAGGCACGAAAGAAACAACGAAACACTGTCATGAGAAATAAGACGACAAACCGAAATACTTCGCAGACGTGAGAGGGAGAAACACACTGCACAGCCGATCACACTGGCTTCATGTCACACCTCAACGCGGCTGTCACAACAAAAGCACGAAATTAAGCAAAGATACGCACAATGCAGCTCAGCAATCGACGTCATCTGCTCCCAAAAGCACGTAATAAGGCAAATATATACATAATGCAGCTCCGCAGGCGACACCATCTGCTCCCAAAAGCACTATATCAGGGATGGACCGCTACAGAAGATCACGAAACGAACTTCAATGCGCCTCAATCAATCACCGGATGAGATACGACAATGGCGCGACAAAGCGCCACAATGCAGCGCCACAACGAGAAAAACCACCCGACATTAAACAAAAGCACGTAACAAAAGATGTGCACAATGCAGCTCAGCAATCGACACCATCTGCTCCAAAAAGCACAATAACAGGGACGGACAGGCACATAATATCACGAATCAAACGACAATGCGCCTCGATCAATCACCGGATGAGACACGAAAATGGCGACGAGAAAAATCACCAGACATTCAGGCCGAAGGAAGATTCCCCCCCCCCCCCCCAGTACCTAGCTTCAATTCCAAGCTCCCCGCCGCGCGAGCTCCCTCCTCCTCCTACCACCAGCACCACCCGAGATGAGATTGACAAGAGGATCCAAGATCGAGGAATCGCGATTCCGAGGATCGCAACTCCACCTCTTTATTGTACGAACAGGCAACACCTCGCCGCCCCTCCGACGGTGGCAATCACTCCGCCGCCCGCGATTTCCTGAGCGCGGAGAGGGAGGAAGGCTGTCTTGGCTGTTCATCCACAAGAACCCCCGCTTTTGAAGGCCATCTTCCCTTGTCCTCGCGCACACCCTAATCTGGACCCACGGAGGCTTCATGACGTAAGATACCTCCAGGGTTATCTTTGTTTCTATTTTTGGTTTTTCGGTAGAGTAAACAGTTCCTAAGGGACACCGGATTCGCTTCCTCACGGGGAGCAAAGCATAGAATACGGACGGATCGACGTCTCTCCTGTCTGTCCGAGAGGGCCCCACAGAACATCCGGCCCGGCCCGAAATCGTAGGGCCCGGCCACGTCTGCTGACAGAGCAAGAAAAGATCGTGGTCCACGTCAGACTGAAAAGCCGCCCCATAGTGTGACATGTCAACGATTATCTGATACGTGTCTATTTTCTATTCGTTGAGCAAGGATTGGTCTCATGGCGAGGAACAATAGCCGTTGACGGCGCTTTTTAAGGCCCAGAACAGAGAAAACGATCTTATGAGCAGGAGAAGTTTCAGATCGAACCATGGCGGGGATTCTGCCCTCACCAGCCTCCATCTCCGGCCTCGGGGCCTCCCTGGCCGGCCCCTCCGCCGCCGCACCCGGCGGCGCCGCCTCGTCGAGGAGGGCGGTGACGTTGTCGTCCCTTTGCCTGTCGCCCCGATGCTCCGACCTCCCCTCTTCCTCTCGCCGCATCCCCCTCAAGGGTTCTCCATTTTCCCCCCTCCGCCTCCACTTCCTGAAGGTAATTCCGTTCGCCTTTTCTTGCGTCGATGCGATTGATTATGAGCTTTGTGAGGAGTGGATGGGGGATTTCGTCGATTGCCTGCGAAATTTTGAGCTCAGACGGGGTTTTCCGTTCGCAGAATGCGCGCGGCGGAGGGGTGCGCAAGTCGTCGGGAGCCGCCTCCGCCACGTCATTCGCGTCGGATCCCGGCCAGTTGAAGAGCGCGAGAGAGGACATCAAGGAGCTCCTCAAGACGAAATTCTGCCACCCCATCATGGTAGCTCCCCCCCCCCCCCCCTCAAATCCGCGCACCTCCAAAAAAGACGTCGTCTCGGATTTCCCTTCTCCGTTTTTCTTTCCCCGAGTTCTATATTTCAATCATTAGCTTGGTCGTGGTAGATTTCAAATGTCTTCTCCCCTTCGACTCCTTGCGATGGACCAACGATTCTTCCAAATCTTGGTGCGAATATTATAAATTCGAATGAAACCCTCTTTAATGGCGACCCCACAAAGAGAACTCAGATCTGGTCGAGACTTAGAAAAACAGTGAATCAATGTTGCTCGATCTCTGGCGGGAAGAACATCGTTTGAGCGTGTCATCTGCGGCCATTAAACTGCGTACGGCAGTTTTCCTCAGAACGAATACAATCCGGTTCATGTGGATCATACATGAACGGAGCATATGTTCCTTCATACTGGTTCTTCGTATGATATTCTTTTTGATAGTTGGAACGAATTGTGGATCGTTGACAACTTTCCATTAGAAAACCCTGCAGGTGATTGATTTCAATTGAGTAACTCTGGCTCTTGATCTTGTCATTAGATTCGGCTTGGATGGCACGACTCTGGAACCTACGACAAGAACATTGAGGAGTGGCCCAAAAGAGGTGGAGCAGATGGAAGCCTGAGGTTCGAGCCAGAGCTGAAGCATGGAGCCAACGCCGGTGCCTTTCCCGCCCCAATCCCACTCCAATTCGTCGACAATATTTCCATGTACTGACGAGGTACCGCAGGTCTCATAAACGCCTTAAATCTTCTTCAGCCCATCAAGGACAAGTACCCTGGAGTTACATACGCAGACCTGTTCCAATTAGCCAGCGCTACAGCGATAGAGGTTCTTGCTCAATCATATTTACTTCGTCTATGATTTGGCTCTTAAGACGTCGGAAACTGATGTGAAATGAGATTTTAGGAAGCTGGAGGCCCGAAAATCCCCATGAAATATGGTCGCCTGGATGTGACTGACCCCGAGCAATGCCCTGAAGAGGGGAAGCTCCCTGGTGAGAAATATCATACGCCTCTGCAACAAGTATCATATGCTCCTCCATTCCTTTATTTTATTTTTTTAAAGTCATATTTGGGTTACAATTGTGATCTCAGTTTCAGATTTCTCAGATAATTCCATGCGCAATTCCCTCCATTAATGGTTCATAATCTTCTGAATTTCTTAGATGCTGGCCCGCCTTCACCGGCTGCCCATTTACGTGAAGTGTTCTACAGGATGAGCCTCGATGACAAGGTTACCACCCACAGCATAGCGCATATTTATGCATCAAATGATCATCTAATCATTCATGATTAGGAACTTAATAATTTCGGGCTTACCCCTCATTGCAGGAAATAGTCGCATTATCCGGTGCTCATACTCTGGGAAGATCAAGACCCGAACGCAGTGGGTGGGGCAAGCCAGAGACCAAGTACACAGTACGGATGAAGCCAATCTCCAGGATTATTTTTATTTATTTATTTCGTGGTGTGGATTGCTGGTTTGGGTTGACCGTCCCCCTCTTCATCTTGGCAGAAAGATGGGCCGGGGGCCCCAGGAGGTCAATCCTGGACTGTCCAGTGGTTGAAGTTTGACAACAGCTATTTCAAGGTGTCTTTATTTCACCTGAAATGAATGTTTTATTGATTTCTATTATTATTATTATTATTATTATTATTATTATTATTATTATTATTATTATTATTATTATTATTATTATTATTATTGTTGTTATTTGCAAACGCATTCAGGATATCAAGGAGAAGAAGGACGAGGATCTTCTGGTCTTGCCGACTGATGCTGCTCTATTTGAGGACCCATCGTTCAAGGTAAGGGGGGTTCTTGGGCTGCATCTAAATTCAGAAAATATATAAGAATTCAGAAATTAAAAATTAAAAAATGGGTCGTCTTCAGGTGTATGCTGAGAAGTATGCCGAGGATCAGGAAGCGTTCTTCAAGGATTATGCGGAGGCGCACGCAAAACTCAGCAATCTTGGCGCGAAATTTGATCCTCCCGATGTACGTTCCATGATAATATGAGAATATTCCTCTTGAGAGCGGGAAATTTTCTATCATTGGCATCTTGCTTCCATGAAATAATCCCAATTATGGAAATCATTTGACAGGGTTTCTCCATAGATGACGATCTCAAGGAAGCCCAGCCGGAGAAATTCGTCGCTGCCAAGTACTCCTCTGGAAATGTCAGTATTCCCTCATTTTTATCCTCTCTCTCTCTACTTAACTATGCATAGAGAGAGAGAGAGAGAGAGAGAGAGAGAGAGATGAAGAATGGGAGGATCTAATAAATATGATGCGGGTGAATGTCAGAGGGAGCTGTCGGACTCGATGAAGCAGAAGATCCGGGCAGAGTATGAGGCGATCGGGGGGAGCCCTGACAAGCCGCTCCAGTCAAACTACTTCCTCAACATCATGATCTTCATCGCTGGATTGGCCCTGTTGACTTCCCTTCTTGGGAACTGACAGCTGGATCGGTACCCCTCCTCCTCCTCCTCCTCCTCCTCCTCCTCCTCCTCCTCCGCTGCAGTTTCTTGCATCTATTACACGTCTCCTATATATGTGATTCCCGTATATTCCAGAGTTGAGGTCAACTTATGAGGGTTTTGACCATCCCGGGTGGTCAAAACCCTCTCCATGGTCGGTATCCTCTTCCATCTGCACCACCGTTTTAGATATAATGACGCAGGTCTGCTACGGGTCTTGTGGGTACTTGAGAGAGAGCCGGGGGCTTTTACAGGCTTGATCTTGTGTATATTCCGACACTGCAAGATGTAGATTTCCACGTCTGCTTGCTATTTTTGCACTCTACCAAGGGAAAAGGGCTGACTTTGGCATCTTCAGTGGGCCCGAGCCTGGCCCAGTTCATTGATCATGAGATGCCGCTTCGGCGAATTCACTATACTGATATATCTGATTCACATGCTTTTTCATCTTCCAAATTCAAATCCGCCTCAAGGGCCCCTATTTATTATCAAGTAGAGAAATAGAGATGTAGATTCTCTCTCTCTCTCTCTCTCTCTCTCTCTCTCTCTCTCTCTCTCTCTCTCTCTCTCTCTCTCTCTATCTATCTCTTCCTCTCTCTCTATCTCTCTCTCTATCTCTTCCTCTCTCTCTATCTCTCTCTCTATCTCTCTCGCTCTATCTCTACTCGATGACAAATAGTTTATGAAGGCTTAACTTCAGCCATTCCTTTTCCTCTAATTATTGAGATTGAAGCATTTTGAGTTGCGTGAACTCTTTTTCCAATTAATTAATAATTCAGAACGATTTTCTCTCTCCAAGCACCCCAAACCATGGTTTCTACTGTTCATGTAAAGCCATTAGATCCTCGTGGGCTTTTTTCTCTTTTAATTATTATTACCACAAATCTCAGTGACGCCGTGCGTATAAAGTTGATAACTTTTTTTCTGACAGGATAATTCTTTGTGTATTTAAACATTAGCACTGGAATATATATATATATATACACCCTCTGGAGGGCGGTGGCTTCGGCTCACCATCTCCTCCGGCGGAACCGGGCGGCGCCGCCCGGCTTGCGGACGAAGCTGGAAGTCCTTGTCACTCGCACGTGGTGCACCGTCCTCGGGCGGCGCTGCCGCCCATGGCGGGGCTCCCGCCGGTGGCTCTCCCTCAGCTCCACCCTTATCCGGTGGCTCCTCGCCCTCAGCGACCTCTCCAGGTGGAGCCTCCTCCTCTCCCTCGACCTCGCCGCCGACGACCACGACGACGATGACGAGTATGCCGGCGACAACCACGGCCCCCTCCGCCGCCGGCGAATCCCCCCGCCGGCGCCGGAGAAGGAACCGTACTCTTCGTCTTCTGCCTCCTCATCCATGGCCCTCGCCCTCTCCCTCTCCTTCTCCCTCTCCCTCTTCCGCCACCTAATCGTCCCTCTGAGGAAGCGGAGCCCACCGTCGCATGCTGAGAAGCAGGTGGCGCAGAGAGATCGTATCATCTTCCCCGCCGCCCCTCCCAGGCAGCCGCAGACGCCCGTCTTGAACAGCAGGTAGATGAACAGCAGCACTGCGAGAGGGGAAGATCAATCAGCGGCCATGATCCTCAATAAGAAAAATGGATCCGAGCAGTTGCAGGTGTAAAGTTTCTTAGGTTAAGAAGAGTGGGAGGATTGGAGAGGGATGACGATGACTCACCGGCGTAGAAGAGGAAGAGGATGGCCACGAGCTTGAGCAGGTTGGCGACGCAGAAGTGCTCGATGTAGCATATCAGATCCCACGTCGATCCACAGGCAGGCCTGAAAGAAGATCCATGCGTTAGATTAAGATCCCTTCGGAAAGGAGAGAGAGAAAATTAGGGTTCCGATGACCTGCAGGATTTCCCGGAGAGGAAGTCGAGAGGAGCTCCGAGGACGTCGCCGACAACGTTGGCGACGCCGGAGAAGAACGACTTGATGACGTTCCCCATCTCCAAAGACGCCCCTCGCTGAGATTCCTGATTTTCTTATGCTTTCTTCTTCTTCCTCCTCCTCTTCTTCTCCGATCGATCCTGCAATCAGAGGAAAAGTGGTTTGAGGGGAGAAGAGAGAAACACGGGGGGCGAGCCGGGGGGCAAACCCTCGCCGCCCTTTTTATTCGACGAGTATCTACAGTGCGGAATGGAGAGTTCCTCCGCCATCGTCTCCCACTGCAACGGAGAAAACCCACCGTCGCCATCGCCGTCGCCGTCGTATTCATCTTACTTCACTTCTTCCGCCTCCATTTTGGCGATGGAGATGGTAAGCAGGAGCGAGAGAGAGAGAGAGAGAGAGAGAGAGAGAGAGGACTCACAAGCGTTTGGACAGGGAAACCTTAAGTCCCCCTCCTCAACCATCTTTCTTCATCGCCAAGCCTGCGAGGAATTGGAGGTATCCATCAATCCTTCGGTTGGCTTCTCTCTCCTGCATAGCCGGTTCCTTCCCACAATTTAAACCCGGACGGCAACCGCCGCCTCCAACGGTCGTCTCACGAATCCTGTCACCGTCGCCTTTGGCTGAGTCGCGGTGACCAAATCGGGCCTACGCGGAGTAACTCGCTGACCCTGACCCGGTCGGAATCGGGATGAGACCGATCCGCAAGAATTTCGAGCCCGGCATAAACTTAGACGTAATAATTGAAGCCCTAAAAATGAATGAATTTATTTGATAAAATTATGATTATCAAATTGTCCGTTTTATCTCTCTAATTTCCACCAAACATTCATATTTTCGTTATTTTAATTATACCCCCACATTTAAACAGCCGTATCGGCATAAATTACTTTTTTTTTAAGTCTAAAATATATGCCCTCGGAAACCATTATCTTTATTTTATTATACCCCTTGTTTTTACTCTCTATCTAATTAAATATGGTCAACCCCCTACAACTTCAAGTTGAAAACCTTATGTACTCTCTCTCCCCCTCTCCCTCTCTCTCACTCTCACTCTCTCTCTCTCTCTGTATGCATGAGTTTTGCTGGGCAGTCGAAAAATACACGAGCTTATCAATAATTCAACTAGTTGGCAAAGGCACGGATTATCGCTGCGGCAATAAAACCACGGCGCCCCCAATTAAAAAATACGGATGCATGTAATTAACTACCTGATTTTGGAGCACGTCCTGACCTACTACTCTCCACGTGGCGCGGACCCAGCTCAGTCAACCACAGCTTGCCACTACGAGGAGGGACTTGACGGCGCCTGGGCAGGGATTCCCGCCGCCAAATTGCTCAGCTGAGACGGAGATCGAGCACTCCTCCTTCCCCACGCAGGCCTGCTCATTTTCACGGAAGCATCAATGAAATGATACAAGAAACTGGGCTACACGCAGAGAGAGAGAGAGAGAGAGAGAGATTACCTCTTCGACGAATGCTTTGGAGGAGAACACGTGACAGCCGCCGGTGGCGTAGCTCCGACAATCTCCGGTGGGCGTACCGAAGCTGGCGAAATCGACGGCCGAGATTGTGCTTCCGGCGGGGCACTGGAGGTCAACGCTTGGCGGCCGCCGCTGCCGCAGAGGCGGCGGTCTGGAGAACAGCGACGGCGGGTGGTCCTCGGAGATAACGCCGCAGATGCCGCGGACTGAGATGGTGTCCACTGAGACCTGCAGAGGGTTCCCCGTCTCCTCCTCGAAGAGGACCAGAAGGTTTCCGGAAGGCTCCAGAAAGGATCGAGGAATATGATATCTGAAAGAAAGTCAACGGCGGATCTTCATCCCCATCGTAACTTACGTCATTCTTGGGTGATGATCGGTGGAGATTTTCCGCACTTACAGTGATTGAGAAGGCCGGCCGTTCGGTGTTCGACGCGAGACCCAGTACCGGCCGATGCTCAGCCCGTTGACCCAGGCTTCTCCTTTCCCCATGCTTCCCAGGTTCAGAGCCACCGGGTCAACCCCAGGCGGGGAATCGAACGTCGTCTGACCCATGTTAATTATCAGATTTATTTAAAAATATATAAAAAACTTGAACCGCATGGAGGTCAAAATGGCCTTCGTCGATATCACCTTGAACCACGTGAGCCGCCGTCCAGAGGAGACTCCAGAAGCCATCCAGTCAACTTTGCTGGATCCATCTTGCGTATAGATTTTCAGCTTCTCGCCCCACAGACCGCGCTACCATTGTCCAAGGCAATATCTTATAAGGAGAGAGAGAGAGAGAGCGACAGAGAGAGAGAGAGAGAGAGAGAGAGAGAGAGCAACCTGGTAACCCCAGTGATATCTGATGAGATCTTCGGTTCTATTTCTTGAGCCACGGATCGTCACTCTCCGGAGACCAGCTACTCTGCGCTCAAGGTACGCCCCCGAGTCCTTCAAAACGGCAGGTATGAAACAAGGAGATAGACAAATAAATAAATAAATAAATAAAAGTGGAAAATGGTGGAAAATATTTAGAGCCTGATTAACATAGAACTATGCTAGACATTTAATTTATCTCATCATCTAGTTTCATGATGATTTCAGTGAAGGGCATGTCGCATATAGCACATACTGGTAATCCAACCATGACACTGAGCAATGAGATATTATTTTCGCCCTGATGTAATGCAATTTCTTTCTCCAAAACAGTTCCTGGTACACCGGGGACGTCGCGTGAACTTCCTGCACACAAGAAAACAGGCTTCAGCCACTCGCACGTCCCCAGGAGATCGCCATTTCGTAGAGATTATTTGATTTTCTTCCAAGGATGCTCACCAGCGTACACACCATTGATGAAAGCGTGAACCACATGGCCCAGAGAATATACGTGAAGGACTGGTCTCCCAATGCGTGATCTATACTCGTAACTGCAGTCAGATCAGGCATTAATCAGCTGAGTTGGTACGTATTAAATGAATATATATATATATATATAGAGCGAGAGAGAGAGAGAGAGAGAGAGAGAGAGAGAGAGAGAGAGAGAGAGAAGTATCACTGATGGGATACCTGGTAGAATACCAAAGATAGTCTGTTTCGGCTTTTGTGGTGGTCATTTGTTCGAGTAGGCCGGTTGCAGAGAAAGGAGCTGCTCCCATGCTCACAATCCTATCACCAAAAGCTCCCCATCTCTCTGGATGATCGAGGACTTGCCGTACTGTATTCGATCGCGTTCGCCACTGACTGTTTACCTGATCGAGAAAGAAAAAACCTATTTATAGTAATGGCTGAAGATCACAAAAAAGAAGCAAGTCAGTAATCTCATGAATATTTTCATACCATTCCCAGTGACCCACCTTAGCGGTATTGAAGACTACGGTGTGACAGTCTGGTAGGATGCTGATTGACTTCGCAGGTAGTTCATACACGGCGTTCCGAAATTGAACGGTTGCGCTGTGTCTTCGATCGCTGTTCGAGAGGAAAGCGGCACATTTTCCGGAAGCTTCTTCAAAGACATTGACCTAAATGAACATACGACTTATGTCACCAGGTCAAACCCTGAAAAGTCAGCGTGGGTGGGAGGGAATCTTACCTCTTGCAGCTGGCCAAGGGAAAAGTTTTTATGTCTTCCCGTAAGCAAAGCATCAGAGCATGATTTTACCGCCGCATGCAGTTCCCTCAGATGGCCCCACTTCGGCTGCCTTATGAGACCTGGCCATTTGACAATCACAGAGCCTGTAAGATTATCTAATCAGAAGAACGCGTCGAATCCGCTATCTGACCTTGATTACATGCCACCTACCGTATTCATCGATCGGAGCTTGATCGTAGTAGCTTGTTGTTACATATGAAGAGCCAAAACCTCCAAAATTCGTACCTCCATGATACTGCGTCAGGTTTTAACGGCAAAGTCAACCTGAGACTTAAACATGGCTCTGAAGATATTTTTAAAACATTTGATGTGCATTCTTTTTTTCTCATCAGCCATATTAATCTTTGTGTAGAAGCTTATTTAAAATATTTATATAATTTTAAATCAAGCAAGTTGAATATTTCGCGATTTTTTTATAAACGGTTCATCAGTTTTAGATCCGAACATCTTGGAACGTTTTGAACCGTCAGGTTCTTAGCTTTGCAGGATGAAGAAAGGGCTTTCTGAGACATGAATCTTCTGAATATGGAAAGACAGGTGAAACGCATCATGTTATGGTTCTTTCAAAATGAATGCATCAGGCAGTCGTACGAGATTAATGCACTTGTGATCCTCTTCAAGATCTTCTGAATATAAAAACATGGGTAGGGAAACTCACCATGTAGTAATTCACAAAGCTTCCACCCCTTGCGATAAACAGTGCAGTCGCAAAGGCGATGTCTTCTGCTGTTCTTATGTATGGTTCTTCTCCAAATCGCTGAAACCTTTAAGGAGTATTACGTGCAGGTTATCAATAGTATTATATTTTCGTCATGAAGAGGAGTATATATATATGTAGCGAGATAGAGAGAGAGAGAGAGAGAGAGAGAGAGAGAGAGAGAGAAGGAGAGAGAGAGAGAGAGACGTAAGTGCTACAACTGACTGAGATTATAAATGCATGGCAAAAGGTAAAGTGAGTTCGATCAAGAACATACATAGAGGTCCAGTTCTCCGTCCACAGAAGAGGCTTGTTGGGTGAGTTGGGTCCCTTGAATGTTTCCGCGCAGTTCATTCCATTGCATGCATTGATCTGCACCCAAACAGAATCCTAAACGAGATTTCGAATCCATTTTTTTCCCATAACTTGCAATTTCTAGGGCTTAAAACGTACGCATGTGAGGACAGGTGGACGTAGCGACGTACCACAGGATCAGGTGCATCATCCTGCTTGCACATCATCCAGGGCACACCGGTTTCAAGTCCCACCGCCATCGCCGCCGCCCAACGAACATATGGTGGGCCCTTCGCATGGAATGCAGGCTCCACATTCTGGTATTCGTTCTCGATCTGCATTTGTCATCCGGGTTGTAGTTTCATCAGGAAACAATCTCTCAGTCAAAACCCTAGCCATCTTCGTTCCTTAACACTATGTAAAGCGGAGACCATACTTGACCTGAGAGAGTATTATAGGGCCTCCTTGAGAAGCAAACAACCGCTCGGATTTCATCATGCTCACTATCTTCGACACAAATCTCTGCATGTGGAACTGCACAGCGAATTTGAAGATGTTGAGAGGGAAAGAAACGGGGCCAAGCAGTACGAAGAACGACTAACGCGACCACAAGTGTAATCACCTTGAAAGGCTCGTTGTCGGATCGGAAGACAATGCCCGGGACGTCGTGCAACCAGAAGGGAAGACCCCTACATCACACCAGAAACGTATTCAGCAAAGGAGGGAAGAGGAAGGACAATCTACCATGATCGCCGCACTCACCCATACTTCCATTCGGATTCGATGAAAGGGCCGATTCTGAGGCTCACATAGAGACCCTGCGCCTGTATCTCCTTGACGAATCGCACGAGATCGTATCTCCCCGCGAAGTCATACTGCAACCGACCGTCAACAACGAAGACAGCATCAGACGACGATCACAACTATTCAGACCATCCAAGGAACCCTATCGCTGAAGGGGGGGAGGGCCACCCAACCTGTCCCTGAAGGGGTTCGTGAACGTTCCAGAAGACGTAGGTCTGTATCGCGTCCAGTCCTCCCGCCCTGGCTTTCTGTATGAGAGACGGCCACATCTGCAAGTCAACGCAGAGCGTCATCATTTATTAATGACGCCATAATCAAGAAACTAGCTTTTGGATCTGATTATGCTGGGAGATCGGCCCAAGTAATCTGGAGGTAGGAGTGAGCCCCACTCGAATATCGGAAGATCGAAACATAAAGTAGTGGGCGACGGCGGCCGCGACTGGCGGATCCGGCTGTGAGGAATAATCTCGGCACGACGATCGAGGGCCGTTAGGCAGATCCACATAGCAGGGCCGCTCGAACGGCCAAGGATGCAGAAGGGGCGGCGTCGTCTTCCACCAACTCCGCTGGAATATTCTGGCGTCGACCGGATGAGAGACCGCGCGTTCATCAAGTGGCGCTGCCTTCTTCTTCATCTTCTTCTTAAGGGAACTCTCAAATCTCGAAGAAGCACAGTGGCGGAACGAGTGGAGCTGCCTGCGCTCATCTGACTACAGGAAATGGGGATTCCACAGGAGGGGTGGAGCCCCCCCCCTCTCCCTCTCTCTCTACTTGAATACATTATACATTTATCTTCCTCTTCGGGTATCAATCTCATCTTCTTCTCACTCACTCACTCTCAATCCTAGAGCCTTTTGACTGATCTGTCGATACTATTCAATTACGCATGTGCTCTCTCTCTCTCTCTCTCTCTCTCTGTGGAGTGCAAGTCGTTGCCGAGTTTGCAGGCGGTGCTCCGGATCTGTTAACGGAAAAAAGAAGAATGTAGACGGAATGTGCTTCTGTTACCCAAAAGAGGTTGCTGGTTGGGTTTTGAAAGAGGTCGCTCTTCTCAGTATGTAGGAGTCTTCTTCAAGAAACTGTCGTCTGGATTATCTCTGATTCTACGGCTGAAGAGGCTTCTCTCCCCACCTCTCTCTCTCTCTCTCTCTCTCTCTCTCTCATTGTTCATGCGTTCCGCAGAGAATTTCAGAATCCCACTGATGCCCGCACCACATCTCAGAACAGGAGCATACGACGAGAAAATACTAAGAAAGAAGATGGAGAAGAATAACGAGGAGAGAGAGAGAGAGAGCTTAACCTCGGGCGTGCTTCGGGGATAATGGATGGAACCGGAGAAGAGGATCTTCCTCTGGCCGCCGATGATGAGCGAGCGGCCGTCGTAGGTGACGTTCCCCGCCGAAGACGACCACGCCAATCCCGCCGCCACGACCACAGCCACCATCACCGCAGCCACCGTCCCCATTCCGGCGGCGCCGCCTTGATCCTGCCGCCCGAAATCTGCTTCTCGGAGTTCTTCACCAACACTCCGGGAAGAGAGTTCCGGCGAAGACTGCCAGGATTTGGATCACTGTGGCGAGAGAGGGGAGACCTTCTGGCAGAAAACTCTCTAGGAAGATATGCTGGGTTATATAAGAGGAGGATGATCACCTTCATTCTATCAACAATGAGAAGAGCGTCATGGCATAAGGCGGTGTGATCACCGCCGAACGGCCTCCGCCTATTAGAATCACCGCCTCTTCTCTCTCTCTCTCTCACACACACACATCCTGTTTGGATACTTCTTGCGGCGTACGTGTAACTATAGTATGACATTAAACTCCACATTAATTTTATTTGTATTCATAGCCTTTCAAGTGTTTTTTCGACATCAATCCTTGAGTGCGGGACTTGAAGAAGGACATATGTATAAATAAAGTTATGTTCATTTATTTATTTGCCGTGGGGAAATACGCCACTCCGGACATGAGAACAGCGTGGGCCCTCTAAAAATCTGAAAGCCTAGAATTTCGTTAGAATTTAAATTTTCTTTATTTGATATTATAAAATTAAGTTTTTGACATCCCTTTTTTTTTATTCACAATGGTCCAATATAAATTTAGAATTTAAATTTTACGTAATCTTTGTTATGGAATTTTCATAGATACAATTTATGTTTATTTTAGGTGTGCATGAAAGAAATAGAAATGTATTGGAGCTATTCGTAAGTATGAAAAATACGCAGACCTGGCCACCGTCGGTTGGTGATGTGGAATTGAGGGGCCAATAGTCGTCCTCCGCGTCGCTAGCCAGTCAGATAGGGAGCACCCAACGACCGTGGCCGGCGGCAGGCGGGGGGCGGCGGTGGCGGGAAGCGGCGCTAAGTTTTCTCCTCCTCCTCCTTCTTCTTCCAGTCCCCGCGGCGAGACGGAGGCAGTCGCAGGCGGCGAGGGCGGTGGCGGAGAAGGAGAGATCGGTGAGATCAAAATATCGGGGGATCGGAATTTCTCCCACAGACGGGGTCGTGAACTGGCCGATTCCTGCACCACCATCTAGATCGCAAGCTCTGTGGATGTTAAATGCAGGAGGCATTGGCGGAGAATGGGAGAAGTGGCGGAGAAGCAAAGAAGATGCAGGAGGTCACGCGAGCGGTCACTTCCACAAGCGGACACCACCGTTCTGGCAAATCGCCGGAGAGGGAAAACAACGGCGGATGGCCCAGTAGGTCGTTGCCGTTAGCGAAAAGAGTGTCCGCTTGTGGCCTCGAAGATTTTCCGCCAATCCTTATTTCCTTCTGAGTAAAGCTCAGCCCAATATACAGGCCTACGTCACGATGTCGCATGCCATAAGTCCGCTGGGCTCTAGATTTTGGGCCACTCTGCTCCCTCTACTGGCCTTCTCCATCGCCGGCGCCGGCGACGGATCCGGACTTCCCTGTTGCCATATTCTCTCCTGCCGTCACCGGCTCATGGTCCCTGCCCTTCCGAGGATTAGGGAGGAGGAAGCAGCTGACAGCGCGTGGGGATTCTCCTCGGTGCCCTAGCTGCGGATACCTGGAGGCTCGGCGAGGTCCCTCTTTTCTCTCATTGGAGGTCATTCCCCTTGGTCATCGAGAGCTTGAGGCCCCATCTTCGTTGGTGAGAGAAGCGGCGCCGCCTTCGTCGAGATGAGTTCGCGCCTGCAGATCCCCGCGAATGATTCTGTCCTCCTCCGCGTCACACACTCTAACCTGAAGTCCTTCTCCGCCGACGTCCGTTTCTACCGCGATGTAACACTCTTCTCCTTGATTCCCGCTTCATTTTCCCACCCACGGAGGTACCTGGACGGACGATTTCCAGAGCTTGATCTGTTTGCGGGTCTGTGTTGTTTTGCATTCCTCTGAAAACGGGCTCTGCAGTCGACCGTGGCGACTGTGAAAGACAAGCTATGGAAGAAATGCGGCACCTCCGTCGACTCAATGCGCCTTGAGCTCTATGATATTTCGGGGGCCAAGGTCTCGGACCTCAGTGACGACTCCAGACCCCTTGGCTTCTTCTCTCCGCAGGACGGGTGTGTTGAGCTGCCTCTATTTTTTTCTGTTCTTCATTTGATCTGATCACACCCTGGTTTCATCTTTTGTCCCTTTCAATCCAATTGAAGCTACCGGATTCATGTCGTCGACCTGGATCCATCGTCGGTGACCTCAGGTGGATGGTTAGAGGACACGTCCCTGGTGGAGAAGTACACCATCTCTGAGGAAGCATATAACAAACTTGATGGCAAGTCCTTTTAGGGCCCTTTGTCTCTCGCACGCTAGAATACTTCCTGTGGTTCATTCTTATCCCGGACCTGGTTGTTTGTGGACATTTGAAAAGGAGATGAATCTTTGCATCATTCAACTGCTCTTTCTTGAGAGCTCATCTTCGGTTATCTGGGTAGTTTTTTTCACTATTCTTGATGAATATTGTGAGCCATTTTCAGGGATATAGTCCTGGTTTTATCTTCTTGCCTCAATACGCATTGTTCCTATTACTTAAGCACTTAGAAAGCTTTTTAGAAATTTCTGTTTCCTGTTAGTATTTTTTGCTTTCCTTTTTTTTTTTTGTAGGTATTAGAAAAGAATAGCAAGTTCTTTCCTTGTGGTATTAGAGTCGTGGTGGTAACCTAAACTCTGATATTTCTTACCCTCATTCTTTGGATTATCCACTGTCTCCTTAAGCCTTCATTGCGTATTTCTGTTCTTCTAACAAATAACATTTTTTTACCAATGGATAACTTCCTTTTTTCCATAAATAATGAATAGTCCATCAATCCTCGTATCTTGACACCCCAAGAACATGGGGTTGCTGAACATAAAAACAGATACCTCTTTGATAAATGGACTTAAGTACTTTTAGGACAAAGTCACGGAAGCAGTAATTTTTCAGTCTATTTGACCAAGAATCCTTTGAGGATAAATACTTTTAACTACTGCCTATTTGATAAATAGACTTCCTTCTTACGTCATTGGCAATCCCCTAGGTATGTTATCTGAAAGCGTTAATATACGCTGTTTGTCCTCGAAAATATTTCTTTGTGCAGCATGTGCTCTTGTTCACAAAGAACATTGCTCAGAGTTAGATCCTCGGGCTATACAGTGTCTTCATTCATTGCTCCAACTCTCATGAAGGGGCATATGCTATCATCCTCCTAGTTGCAGATTCTTTGTCACCATGGGTGTCACATTTTCTGAAAATAATCCAATTCTACTCGACCCAATTCCCTCATCTTCTAGGGCAAATGAGAACATCGATTTTTGTTCCCTGATGACTTCCCACAAATCAAATACATGGACAATAATCTGCTTTTACGTCTGAGTCTACACTTGCACTTGTGTCCACTAATATCAGAGAAGTTACACCTGAACCTATTAATACCAAAGATGCCCAAAGGGAATGGAGGATATCTATTTACCAGCATGGGGGAACTGACAAATACCGTGAGATATTCTCAAAGATATATTTCTAAATATATCTTCTTTTCTTATGCATTCTTCCTATCACCTAGGGTTATTAAAGTTTTTTTTTCTTTTTTTTTTCGGTCACTCCTTTTTTCCTTTCTGTTTTTTTTGTAGATTTTCTTGGCGGGTGCATAATTTTAAGCCTTCCAAAGATAGTAGGAGAGAAACTCTCCCAACCTATATGTACTGTAAACTGACGTTCAATTCAACAGGGAAGAAAGAACAGGCTCTTTCTTCAATTCTTTCCGTAATGATAAAGTAGCAATCTCTAATCCTGTAATCTAGGTTTGAATTGATGCGGGATGGGAATCTCTAATTTTCTTTTTGCCTTTGATAGCATCATTATCGTTTCATCCTGCTACTTCTACTTCTCTTGGTTTCGAGAGCTATTCATCTTTTTTCTGTCATCATTAATAACGATTGCATTGTTTTTCAACGTGGAGCAATTTACTTTTGATATTCATTGTTCATTTGCGCTACCAGAATTATGATTTGAAGGACTTGTCTTCATCTTGCGATCTTCATTGCCAATAACGATTCATAAAGTACTCTGCTTCGATGGTAATATGGAGTTAGATATTGTTCGAAACACTGCAAAATGCCCTTTGATCATTTGGCTTCTGTGCAAAGTGATAATATTCTATGAGGCAAAAAGTATTTTATTGGAAAAAAGGTCATTAACTAACCATTCCTCATATTGTTACATTATTGAATTTTAGCGATAGTTTTTCTGTCCTTCAATCGCATTACAAGAAGATGATCAATAATATTCCATCGCATTGCAGGTAACTTCAGAAAATTTAGAGAGAAGCTTGGCTCTGGGAACACAACTTCTTCCAACAGAGTGAGATTCTCAACCTCTTGCACCGAGAGTGATTACCACCACCTAGAGTGAGAATTTTTCTGACCAAGGTTTTCTCCCTTTGCTTTTCAGCTGCTCGATAACTACATGGAGGAGCTCTGTTCCGATATCAAGGTCGGTGATAAGTCCCCTCTGACGACTGTTTAGTGAAGATGATTATTGACTAGAAAAAGATTTTCAGGCTGATTTAGTCTTTGACTCGAAAGGAGAACGGGTTCTCAAGATCACTGAAGCCGTTGACTCCTGACTGAAGATTTCTAAACTAATTTGCGTTTTCTGGGTTATTACCATGCTTCAGCATAATTTAGAGGAAAAGGCACAGCTTTTAGTTATGCTTGGTTATTGATTGACTTTTCTGTGGAGATGTTCTTTCCATGAAAAGAATGAAATACCAATCACGATATGGCTCATTGCGATAAGATATTTCTGGTATTCAATTTTTTTTTATGCCTTTAGAAAATCAAGAAAGCATGCTGCTAAATTCTTACGCAGATTGGGGATAGATGCCAGATTGAAAGTGGGGAGAAACGTGGAGTCATCAGGTTTATTGGTAAAGCTGAGCCGCTGGGTCCTGGTTTCTGGGTTGGAGTTGAACTCGACGAACCATTGGGGAAGCATGATGGCACGTAAGTGGATGTTTTCCTAGCCGTAGACCTTTTTACGCTTTTTTTCCTCTTTTTTTCTCTCTTGAAGGGAAATTGTCTCGTCTCTTTTAGCAGTTCAGCAGATCTCTTACCTCATCTCATCTCCGTAGTATTCATTGGATGGAGAGTGAATAATTTTAACAGTATGAGTAATTTATGCTAATTTCTTGAACGTCACTTATTTTATAATAAAATTCGTGGACTAATATCTAAAAATAGAACGAATATATATATATATATATGTAATATTCCAGATGAACTATCCTTTTATCTCCATCTGATCGAGATCTCATGGGTATCCTGCCCTTCCTTCCTACAATTCTACTAGCAACTTAGCTGAATGTTCTTGAGATAGTGCCAACTGAATAGATCTTAGCTGCTTTTAAACTGGTTTTTTAGTGGCAGACGATCGATCGAACCTGCTTACGCTCATTAATTTGGAAGCAAATGATTTCTATGAGGCATTCTTTGTGGAACCGCAGCTTTCCATATTGGTAGTAGATTATGCTATCTGCCTTCTGACTTCAGTGAGGAACTCGGGATCGTCAGAAGTCGACCCCAGCCTCTTAATCTCTCAGAGAAGAGTTCCCTTCTCTCAGAAGCCTCAGTGATCTTGAGGGCATTTCAGCTCACTTATGGCTCTTCCTTTCCCGCATTGACCTCTGCGGTTGTTCTGGGTTGAAATGAATCGAAGCCATCTTTCCTGGGGAGATGGGGAGGCACTAGAAACCCACTCGCTCATTTGGGTTGCTCCATTGCTGCAGGGTGAAAGGCAAGCGCTACTTCGGATGCCGGCCACAGCACGGCGTGTTGCTGCGACCCGACAAGGTGAAGGTGCGTACCCTCATTCTTCCCCCATCTTCTTGCTTTTCCGACATATTTTTTTTTTAATTTAAACGAAAATTAATTATTGGGTCGATGTATTTCCTTGGTTCAAAATTCTTTTTATTTTATTTCTGGGCTTAAGTTCTAGACCAAAACCCTGCAGATATCCGACCCATTTGAACGGTTATATTATTATTATTATGGAAAGCTCATTTTTTTCGCAGGTCGGAGACTTCCCTGAGAGAGACCCATTTGAGGAAGACGAAATCTGAGAAGGCTGCCGAAGTCAACTCCGCCTGGGCCAAGATATCTGATGATTTCCCCTTTGAGACCTCTACCATGCTTCTAGCTAGTCCCATGCCTGAAGCCTCATCTGATTCCATCCTCGGACACTTACAGAGGGGGGGGGGCGCGGGACTTTCCATCTTCTGCTTCATCAAAATTATTCGAAATCCTCTTTAGAGAGACGCCGCGAAGACATTTATTTATTTATTTATTTATTATTATTTATTTCTAGCGAGAAAGATGAGTAAATGATATTATTATACGATGCGTGTCAATGGAATATAATTTTTTAAAAATAATATTATATAACAGGGTTTAATTTATTTGCGGGTTATGTATGTCATTAGGTGATTTTCATGAGTTTAATCACGGGCAGGATGGCCGCCATTTCCCCCCTCCCCCAATTATTTACACATTATAGGATTAATTATTTGGAAGCCTCAATTTCTGCATGATTTTCTAATAACATGAATTGGCGGTTAATATGTCATTTTGTTAAGTTAATTTGGGTGTTCGAAAAAATTTACTTCGAGATTCTGCATTAAATGTGGTGTTAAAACAAATAAAATTAAAGTAGGGTACATATGTAATAAAATGATCTTCAAGGGAGCTGATTGTAAAGCCAAGAGGATTCTTGGAGGAGTGGGGGGGGGCTTGAGACTTGCGGGGGAGGTCGAGGAAGTTGAGAGAGCGGGCAGCCATGGCGTCGGCCGCATCCGTGGTGGCGGCGGCGCCGTTGGGCTCGATGGATCACGCCGGCGGAGAAGGCGGGGGGGAGATGACGCTGACGGTGCGGTGGAGCGGCCGGGAGTACGCGGTCCACATCTTTGGAGATGAGACCGTGAGCGAGCTGAAGCGGAGGATCTGCGAGGTGACCGGCGTCCTTCCCAAGCGCCAGAAGCTCCTTTACCCCAAGCTCGCAGCCAAGCTCGGCGACGACTCCGTGCTCCTCGTCCAGCTGAACCTCAAACCCTCGGTGAAGATGACCATGATCGGGTAAGAACTCCTCCCCTGAGAGGAAGCCCTACTTGAATGCAACATGTTGAGCGATCCCAAACTTGAGGGAAAATGCCGACGTCCCGATCGTAGCCCCTCTTTAGCTTTGATTTTTTTTTCTTTTTCTAGATGGGCCAAGATGATATATTATTATATCCGATGCATGATTTAAATATGCTAATTAATTTTCCTCTTTATGAACTAGTTGATGCCGATCATAATCTCGCCTGGGATTCTATTCTTCATGTCTTACTTATATATCTTTCTGTACATATGGTTTATTGAAGTGTTTGTATGGCTGCCATTAGCGTGTTTTCTGTCTGTTCCCGATGAAATCCCCTCTCTAGCTGGAAGGAGCTCAGTGGGCAACAGAGTGGGAGGAGTGGGGAAGGTAGGAGGACTGAAGAGGAGGGATGGCTGAGGGGATGCCCAAACTATATTTCTTTTCACATATTTTTTTTAAAAGACTAAGTTGGGGTTAGTATGTACGAGGTAGGCGTTGATATTAATACGTCTTCACTGGGGAAAAAAAAAAATGAAAAATCGGATTAGGAAACCATACATAAACAAGTATAATGCTCAATGGATGGATTGAGATTGAGAAGGGGTACAAGCCTTGGTCAGGAAATTGGCACCCAGGAGACATTGACAAGGTTTCTGCTCTCTGGTTATGGCTCACTTCTCTTACAATGGATTTTGTATCTATTAAATAAATAAAAAAATAGCAACCAAATGGTAAAAACATATGAAAAAATGACTTGTTAAACAGCGGTGGCATGTGGATTGTGTCATGAGATTTGGGGAGCAAAATCCTTTTGCATGAATTAGATGCAACGGTTGGGAAATCGAGAGGCTACATTAGTATAGAAAAACCATTGTACATAAATATATGGCTTTTGCCTCAATTCGTTGGGACTTTTGATCGTTGAGGTTTAGATCCATGAGACATTGAAGTAGAGAACAATATTTAGAACTCAAAATCTAGAATATGGAAGGGCAAAACTTATACAAGTACTCTTAATTCTTGCCTGTCATGGTAAACATGAATTGAGCCACGTACAAGATTGAGGAAGAAGATGCCTGCCAAAGGGATATGGTTTTCACATCTTGAGGGTGCGTGATGAGTCAGGAACTTGGCTCTGGATCTTAGAACGAGCATGGTTATTATCATTTTTGATTCATCGCGTTAATTTGAATTACAGTTTTCCCTTTAAAAATTATTTATTAGTTTTCGTTTATTTTGCCTCCTTGAAAACACAAACCAGCACCACAGAAGATGAAATCATTGTTGATCAAGGGGAATCTTCAGAAGTAGTCGATGACTTCACACTCGGCCAAGATGAAGTCACTGACATAAAAGATAAAGAGGTAAACAAGCAGAAACTGTGGCGACGCATCAATCGATACAAGGTCAGTTTTTCTTTTCCGGAATTTATTTGGTTCGTTCTTTTTATTATCATTCATCATTTTTTTCAATCTTTTTGCTCGCAAAGTCTGTACTTTTGGCTGGTGAAGGCGTTATTTTGTTTATATTATATCCATCCATTATCATGGAGAAGAGATGCGTTGTGCTGATGATATTTCAAATTTTCTTAAAGATTTCCCAGAAATCTAGTTTTTTTCTATATCCATTGGACTGCAGAACACACGGTTACTGAACAGATGCTCATCTTCTGCAACTCCAACTGCCAAATGAAGAAGATTATCGCTATGATCTTGGGGGTATTGCCGGAGAAATATCCTGCGATAGTTTTATCTCTGGGCCCATCTATTCTCCTCCAGACTTGAATTGAAGCCTTATACATAGAATAAACACGCTATGATTCCATGTCTAGATTCTAGTTCATGCCCATATTCGTCCTTTTTTTTATATATTTTCTTTGTTTCTTGCCGAGTAGATCAAGCTCCTGAATCCATGCCGGGAAGGGAAGAAGCTGCTCGTCCTGGACATTGACTACACCCTCTTTGATCACCGATCCCCTGCGGAGAACCCCCTCGAGCTCATGCGGCCATGTACGTGGAATCTTCGAGTGCTCTTCGGCCTTCGAGCCGCCCTTAATCGTTGACTTTCCTCTGCAGATCTCCATGAATTCCTCTCCTCTGTCTATGCGAGCTACGACATCATGATCTGGTCTGCCACCAGGTAATCTCGCATTTCTGGGCATTTGTATCTTAATCAGGAATGCCACGTGGAAGATTATCAGAAATCTTTTATCATTCTACTGCAGCATGAAGTGGGTCGAGCTGAAAATGGGCCAGCTTGGGGTCCTGAGCAATCCCGGCTACAAGATCACAGCTCTCCTGGACCTTCTGGCCATGATCACAGTCGTCTCTGATTCCCATGGAACCATCGACTGCAAGCCCCTCGGGCTCATTTGGGCCCATTTCCCCGAGGTCCGGCCCGCTTTTCTGATTTTTTTTCTCCAAGAAAATCGATTTAATCATTATTTATTATTTATTTTCTATTTTCTCCCCCCTCCTCGGGCAGTTCTACAGTCCAAGGAATACCATCATGTTCGATGATCTACGGAGGAACTTCGTGATGAACCCTCGGAATGGGCTGACGATCAGGCCGTTCAGGAAGGCCCACTTGAACAGGGGCACCGACGATGAGCTGGCCAGGCTCACCCAATATCTGCTCGCCATCTCAGACCTTGCTGACATCAGCAGGCTGGACCACAGGAACTGGGAGTCCTACGTGGAGGTGGGCCCCAAAAGGCGGGTCCCGGTAGAAGCCGACGGCCCCACATCGGTCAACGGCAGCAATTCGGAGTCTCACGATGAAGAAGATGGCTCCAAGAGGCACAGACAGAGGTGGGTCCGACCTACAAGCACCACCATCCCCCCTGGACCCACATACGCTGACATGTCATCTCTGTTCTTGGGCAGGTAAAGCTTCTCGAGGAATGGGACCCACATGCTGATCCGGTTCCTGTTCTTCGAGGCCGATGATTCTCTCTGCTCTGACCTGTGCCTCGTGCATATTTAGAAGACCGACCGTTGACTGTGTCCTGTATTTTATTGTGGATCATCCATCTGGTGTGGATGGGCCTACTTACACTTAGTAAGCTCGACCCACCCGTTCACTAGGCCAGAGAGAGAGAGAGAGAGAGAGAGAGATGATGGGACTGATGGGCGGCGTGGGATATGGATATCTGCTTTACTAGAGAGCTTTATATTGGGGGCGAGAGTGCACGGGTGGTGGCCGTCCACTTGTCCAAAGGCGGCCTGCGTTGATCTTCGGACAGTGGAACTCCTTGCTCTCTTACAGCGAGATAGGGATGGAGAGAAGATCTGTCAGATCCGGTAGATTCGTCGGTCTCCTTTTTAGGAAATCGCCTGCCGGAGAAACCCGGCCGCGGAGGCGATGGCGGCGGGTTCGCCGCCTCCCGTGAAGCTTTAACTCGGGGGGGCGGGGGCAAAAAACAAGCAACTTTTCTAGACAACAGAGACAAGGATCACACAGCGAAAGCTATACGTCCTCTTTCACCCCGGCGTTGAGAAATCTCTCGGTCTCCTCCCCGCCGCCGGCGAGGGCGGCGGCGCCGCCCATCTCGACGGCGGTGAGCTTCCTGGCCCTGGCCGCTTCGAGCTCCCAGTCGGTCCTCAGCAGCACCACCGTGAGCACGCTCACTGCGCAGGCCGCCTGCGCCGTGAGGAGGCCGTACCAGAGACCGGCGAAGCCGCCGCCGAGGAAGAATGCCAGCGCCACCGCCACCGGCGTGCCGACGAGGTAGAAAGAGAGGAGGTTGATCCTGGCGCCGACCGCGGGGCGGGCCGTGCCCCGGAGCACGCCGCAGCCGGTGGTCTGGGGGCAGTTGCCGAGCTCGCAGAGGCCCATGACGGGCATCGCCGCCGCGGCCAGCGCCACCACGGCGGCGTCCTCCGTGAACAGCGCCGCCCACCTCGTCCGTAGCGCCGCCGTCCATATCACGTTCACCCCCCCGATCACCACCGCGCAGCCCAGGGCCACCAGCGCCGCCACCCTCGCCTTCTCCGGCCTCCCCGCCCCCAGCTCGTTCCCCACCTGAACCACCACCCAAAACAAGATGAAGATGATGTTGACCAAGTAGACGAAGAAACCCTAGCAGAAGAAGAAGAAGAAGAAGCCCTGGAAGGAGAAGAAGAAGAAGCAGCAATGGCGAATGGTGGAGCGAACCCGGGTGGAGACGCAGGCGCCGAGGGCCATGGGGACGGTGTACATGAGGCTGGTGGTCTGGATAAGGATGGCAGTGGCGCCGACGGCGACGGTGGGCTCGGGGAGGTAGCCGGCGAGGACGGTCATGATCTCGTACCACCACCATTCCAGGCAGACCCCCAAGCAGCTCGGCAGTGCCAGCCGGAGCAGTGGCGACAGGTGGGACAGCGACGCGGGCGACCACCCCGTCCAGGTGAGCTCGCAGGCGCCGGAGAAGTACAGGTACCCGAGGAGGAAGAGGACCATGTTCAGGTTGGTGAGCACGGCGGAGATGGCCACCCCGGGGACCCCCATGCCCAGCACGAACACCAGCACCAGGTTCAGCGGCACATGGAACAGCACGGCTACGGCAGAGCAGCACATCATCGGCTTGGTGATCCCCTGCGAACGCAGATAAACGCGAAGCGGTTGCAGGAAGGCGTTGGTGAGCAGGTCTGGTAAGGAGTAGGCGCAGTAGGTGGCGGCGACGGCGGTGATGGCGGGGTCCTGGCGGAGGAGTGTGCCGAGGATGGGGCCGAGGTTGAGCCAGAGGACGGCGATGGGCACGGCGGCGGCGAGGAGGAGGACGACGGTGCGCTGGAAGGAGAGGGAGATGAGCTCCCAGTTCTTGGAGCCATAAGCTTGGCTACAGAGGGGCTCCAAACCAGAGGCCAAGCCGAAGAGGACGGAGTAGCCGGTGATGTTGGTGAAGCCGATGGAGAGGGCGCCGCCGGCGAGCTCCAGGCCCCCCAGCCGGCCCAGGCAGAGCACCGACACCATTGCCCGCAGGAACACCAAGCAATTCATCGCCGTGATCGGCGCCGCCATCCTCCATAGCTCCCTCAGCTCCTCCGCCGCCTGCCGGAGGAAGAAGACGACCCAAATCAGCAAAGTCTTGTTGAGAAGACGACCAAGGTTGAGAAGCAACCCACCTGAGCAGACGGAGAGAGTTTGCCAGATTCGACCACCGCCGGCGGCCGGAGCTGTCCTGTCAGAGCGAAGCCCATCGTTGACCTCTATGTAGCTCGCTCACGGAGAGAGAGAGAGAAAGAAGGTAGACTGAGCTAGAGAGACGGCGAGAGAACGGGAAAGTTCAGACACTATATATAGAGAGAACAGAAGAGAGAAAGAGAGGGAAATAGATACACAGAGAGATAAACACACAGAGTGAGACAGGGAGAAGAACTGTTGGGCGGCGCTTGAACGGCGCGGGTCGCTTGATCTTCCTCCTCCGGCGTTCGTCGCTCCAGCGGCCGGCCGGCGGCGGCGGAGAGTCGCCTTCGCCGGCCGCCGCTTTGGTGCGACCTCCGATGCCGGCTTGGAGTATCTGCTGGCCGGTGACTAAGCATCGTCGGCAAAAGGAGGATGCGATATCGTCTTTTCACCTCGGCCACTAGTCCAGTGCCGCATTGATTTTCCAATTGCTTTTTCTATTTAAATATATGCGTTCACCAAATTTATATCCCCCCACTGATATATATTATATAATATTTAACCAAAATTATTTATTTAGCTTTAGATTCAGCCCATTTCCGGACCTTTTAATCGCATTAAGGCATCTCGTGGACACCCGACCAGCATGCTCATATGAGCCCATCACCAGCCCATTAAGAGACGGCCCAAAGTGGGGTCTCCGATGGGCCTGGCCCAGCCGATGCGGGCCCCACAAGGCAGTAACGGTCCGCTGCGGAGGTAGTCAACGGGGTCTCATTCATTCCCCCCTGCGCACCGGGCGTTAGGCCCACATACAAGTGGCACGTGCTTCCGTTTAAGGAATCAAATGCGGCGTCCTCTTCCGCATTTACTCGGAGAATGAGTGGAAAGTCGTCCCCGCTTTCCCAGCCTGGCGCATCCGTTTCGAGTTTTACTTCCTGAAACAAGAGAGAGAGAGAGGGAGGGAGTTTTTCCTACGTTTAGTGTCAAGAGGGCCGTGGCGTGGTAGGCCTACTGCTCTTCCCTCCAACTCCAGAGATCCCGTTCCGTACCGGTGGGGGCGTCTTCCCTCTCTCTCCTCTCTCTCTCTCTCTCTCTCTCTCTCTCTCTCTCTCTGTGTTTCGGTGGGGGTTTGACTAGGAGGAGGCCGTGAAGGGAGGGAGTCCATGGGGAGAGGAAGCAGGGAGACGGAGTAGCGGCGGGGCCGGCGGCGGCTTGTCTCGTGCTTGTTAGTTCGGTTCGGCGGGGGCGGGGTTTCCTGGACCGATGGAGGGGAAGGGGGGGCTCCTATCCTCGGGGGTGATCCGCTCCCTGCTCGCGATCCTCCAGTGGTGGGCGTTCAATGTCTCCGTTATCATCGCCAACAAGTGGATCTTCCAGGTTCGCCGCCAGAACTTCCATTTCCTGTAAATTTCTTCTTCGCTCCGCCGATTCCGACGCGGCTCTATGCAACCGTTGGCTCCTCGTTCCTCGTTTGCATCCAGTTCTTGTGCTTTCGATAGATCATACTTTATCTCTGCTTCTTCCTTTTTTTCTCTGCCTCCCTTGTATTTCTTACTAACGCCAGGGAGGAACTCGAATCCGCTGGAGTTTGTTCTTCTGTTCTAAAAGTGAATTAGAGATATTAATTAACCTGGAGATAATTATTTTCCCTCGATAGATTTCAGTTTTGTGATTCCTGCGATAATTCCATCTGGAATTGAAGGAATTCGGGGTGGATGTATGTGATCTGTGTCGGAATGTACAGGAATTATCTAGACAGGTTACAGGAATGATCTAGAAAAAAAAAACAGTGGATTGCCAGCCGAGATCTTCAACGAATCTCATCCGGAGCTCATGATCCATGCGCCATCATGGCTCCCTCACCAGAAGCTCCTCCCATTTCAGACTTTGATCTTCCGATATCGACCTAAAAAAAATGGCGGGAATTGTCCCTCTGGTTTCTCCATATTTTTTGTTTTTGTGGACGGGATTTGATGCTCTTTTTCTGTCACGGATGGAGATCCTGCTATTCGATTCCGATTATTATTCTTCCTCCGCAAGAAATTATTTTCTGGATCCGGGATTTTTTTTTTCTGGATTAAAGTGGGCGCCGGGATTTCTGATGCAGTGATCTCGTTTCTTCCTGCAGAAGCTGGATTTCAAGTTTCCTTTGACGGTTTCATGCGTTCATTTCATTTGCTCTTCCATTGGATCATACATTGCCATTAGAGTCATGAAGCTCAAACCTCTCATCGAGGTCGAACCAGAGGACACTTGGAGGAGGATATTCCCCATGTCGTTTGTCTTCTGCATCAACATCGCCCTGGGGAATGTGAGCTTGCGACACATCCCCGTCTCATTCATGCAGACGATCAAATCCTTCACCCCGGCAACGACAGGTCAACGCCGATCTCTGCCCAATTTGCTATTTCCAGAAACCAATTCGGATATGAATTCTTCAAAGTTTTTCCCTCATCTGCCATGTTCTTCCTGCTCGAAGCAGTCATCATGCAGTGGATCCTGTGGAGAAAGCGCTTTGACTGGCGGATCTGGGCGTCTCTGGTGCCCATCGTGGGGGGGATCGTTCTGACCTCGTTGACCGAAATCAGCTTCAACACGGTCGGATTCTTCGCCGCCCTGTTTGGCTGCTTGGCGACCTCCACGAAGACCATCCTTGCCGAAGCTCTCCTCCATGGATACAAGTTCGACAGGTACCCATCCTCTCGATCACCATAAAAATATAATTTTTACCCATCGTTGTTCCGGGTAATTTGACTTTTGATCAAAATGCTTCTAGGTTGACTTTCCATTTACAGATGATTGCTCACGATGGGTTTCTGTGTGGCTGCAGCATAAACACCGTGTATCACATGGCGCCGTTCGCCACCGCCATATTGGCGGTGCCGGCGATGTTTCTGGAGGGCGGCGGAGTCGCCGCCTGGTTCCGAACCCACGATGACGGCTTCTTCTGTCTTCTCATCATCCTCATCTCCGGTATTCTGGCGTTCTGCCTCAACTTCTCCATCTTCTACGTGATCCACTCCACGACGGCGGTCACTTTCAACGTCGCCGGCAACATGAAGGTCAACTCTCACTCTTCCTCCTCCTCTTCCTCACCAAACCCTCCGCCGACAGCGCCGACTTCTCGCAGGTGGCGGTCGCCGTTATGATCTCCTGGCTAATCTTCCGCAACCCGATCCCCGGCATTAACGCCGTCGGATGCGCCGTCACTCTTGCCGGTTGCACGTTGTACGGCTACGTCAGGCACAGGCTCTCTCACCTGCCAGCTGGCGGCGGCGGCGCCGCCGCTAGGAGCAGAGTGGATCTCCTCCCCCTCAGCGGCGAGAAACAGGATAAGGCCTTAAAGTGATCCTGCTTGAGGTAGGCAACGAGGTGGATTGAGCCTATTGGGCCGTATTCCAGGCCCATTAGTTTGGGCCAAAGCAGGAACACCTGAATATAGTTTCAAATTGGTAAAAATCTTTGGTCCTTTGGGCTTTTAAGCTTCTTTGAAATGGGCTCGGCCGTATTCCAGGCCCAAAGTATTTGGTCCGTTTGGGCCTTGGGCCTAATGAGTCCGGGGTCGCCTGGTTATGGGCTTTTTAAAGCTACTTTGATTGAAATGGGCTGGGCTGGGAGTTTCGGGATTCCTTTTTTTTAGCCGTTTGCTTTTTGGGCGATATGGGCCGGTCCAATTTCATATGGGCTTTAAGTACCGTCGCTCTGGGGAAGGGCCCACTTGAAGCCTCTTCAAAATGGCCTCTATCGGACATTTTTCGACTGAGAGAGAGAGAGAGAGAGATTTAGGCCCAATAAAGGCCCAACATGCTCCCAGTAGAGAGAGAGGTGTACCCAACGTTCTCGCTCTAGAAGCGCTCATCAAGAAAGCACGAGCACTCAACACCCCCCCTCCCGCCCCTCTCTCTCCATTTCCCGAGCCGGTCGGAGGGGCAATCTCCTACCTTTTATAATTACATATTTTTTGTACCGATACAAATGGAAATATTTAATCGCCGCGTAATTATATGTATGCACAGTGAACCCAATTTATTTTTATAAAAAATCCATTGATATTGAAAATTCATGATTTAATTCCCCCCCCTGTCGGCTTTCTAGTCCCTGCTCCGGCACCGAGGCTTCAGAATCGCTCTCTCTCTCTCTCTCTCTCGCTCTCTACCCAGCTGGTGGAGTAGGGGAACAAAAGGAAAAAGTCTAGGCAGGGAACGAAGAAGAAGAAGAGAATGAATAGAAGGTGAGGGGCTGTCTGGTGGCAGGGGCTGTCTGCGCTCGATTGCTCTCCCTCTGCAACTCGTAATGGCGGATTCCCCAATCATCCTTCTCCCTCACCAGGGAACAACCATCATTACCCTCCCTCCTCCTCCTCCTCTTAATCTCCCCCCTCCTCCCTCTTCTCCCTCCGCCAACCCCACTCCCTACATCGCCGCCGCCGCCGCCGCTGCTGCCGGAGATGGGCAACCCGCCGCCGCCGACCGCCACTGTGAATGGGTTCTGCTCGGATCTGGTCCATGGGCTTGACGAGCTCGAGCGCCGCCTCGCTGGCGACGGCGCCGTCTCCCTCGTCTTCCTCCGGCGAGTCGTCTACTTCCTCCGCTCCTCCCACCGGAAGATGACCCACCTGGTGCAGAACCTCCGTCTCCCCGCTGGCGGCCGGTGGCTCAGCGAGTACATGGACGAGAGCGCCTGCCTGTGGGAGGCCTGCAGTGCCGCCAAGCTCGCCGTCGCCGCCGTGGAGAGCTTCTGCTCCGCGGCCGGCGCCGCCCTTGGTCGTCCCCTTCTCGCGAAGCAGGCAGCGCGGGCCATCGCCGGCTGCCGGCGGGAGGCGGCGGCGCTGGAACAGGAGAACACGCCGGCGGTGGTGGCGATGGTTCAGCCCATCTCATTCTGGTTCGACGACCGGACCCAGATGGAATCGTCATCGTACTCCAAGCTCAGCAATGGCTTCAATGGCCTGAGAGGAGCCCTCTTAGCCATGAGGCTCGTCGGAGCTTTGCTCTTGAAGGTCCTGCTATGGGGGCTGGCTGCATGGTGGCCAGAGAGTTCCTCCTCCTGCTCCGGAGATCAGGCGGCGAGATGGGGAAGGTCGGAGCTGGCGGCGGCGGCGGAGAGGTTGAAGGAGAGGGTGGCAGCAGCGGTGGCGGAGGAGGGCGGCGGTGGCGGAGTAGGAGGAGTTCCGGCGGAGGAGTTCCGGCGAGCGAGGGCGGCGATGGAGGAGGTAGAGACGGAGGAAGAGGGATGGGAGAGATTGAAGGAGTGCCTCGTCTCTCTCAGCGCCGCCGCCGAGGCCGTCGCCGGCGAGCTCGACGACCTCTTCGATGACATGGTCGAAGCGAGGAAGACGATCCTCAACCTCTGCTGCCGCAGGTAAGAGATAGAGAGAGAGAGAGAGGGAGGAATTAGAGGGGATTGATCTTCTCGTTTTCTACCATATTTTCACGAGTTTTGTTCCTCTGAAGGAAAGAAAAAGGAGCCATCTTTATCACACAGAAAGAAGAAAAGAAAGTACCCAGTAAGTTCCTAGCTCGCCCCTTTGAACCGAAGACCAGGTGCCTGAGTCAACCCATTTAAACCCACTAAATAAAGTAACACAATATTATTATCCACGATTTGACTTATTACCCCGACCCACTTTTGAATCTGTCACCAACTGGCAGAGGCAGACCCAACTAAGATCGTAGACTCGAACCCTCTGTCTCTCTCTCCCTCTCTCTCTACTCTCTCTGTGTCTCTCTCTCACTATCTCTCTCTCTCTCTCTCTCTCTCGCTAAGGGAATAGCCTCGGGCCAGTAAGGATTACAAACCAAAGTTCCACCTTTAGATCGGGCCCAAAGAATTAAAAAGCCCGAGGAGAATCAGCGGCGGCGGCCCGGGAGAAGGGTCAAACAAGGCTTCCGGTGCTCGCGCGGCAGAATTTAATTAAACTGCACCTAGCCTAGAAATCAAAAGAACCACCGCACCGCCGCGAAGGAGCCATCCACGTCGACATGAAAGAAAAAAAATCTCCCACGCGTAACCCACAGACTGACTTTTGGTGTTGGAGGTCAACAAGCATATTCAATGATCGACGACCACATATACAAAGATACAGAATATAAACCCAGGATGAGAAAACTATACCCAACGATGCCAAATAAAGAAATAATAACCCCCCCCCTTCCAAGTTTCGCCTTTTACGGGAGAGAGGGAGAGAGAGAGAGAGAGAGAGAGAGAGAGAGAGAGAAGGGGACTCACACGTCGAGGGCGGGGATGGCGAACTGGGTGGAGAAGGCCTCGACCCGGCTGCGGAGGTCGGCCAGGTCCCAGTTGCTCTGGAGGCCCTTGATGAAGTCCTTCTGAAGCTTCCCATGCTCCCTGTGGACCGTGCTCGCGATGTGCGCCGCCCTCAACAGAAATTCAGCGATCGTCTCGAAGTCCCCCTCCAAGCACCCCCTCGTCGTCATCGCCGGTGTCCCTGAAAATGCCCCCCCAAAACAAATTCACACACACAACTATATATATATATATATATATCTAGAGAGAGAGAGAGAGAGAGGGGGCTCACCGATTCTCACTCCGCCGGGGGAGATGGTGCCGTTGTCGCCGAATATCGGGGTCTTGTTGACCGTGATCTGGCACAGCTCGCAGACTTTCTCAAAGTTTTTACCTGCCAGAATTCCCAAGCAATTGAGGGTAAAAACAATCGAGGGCCGGAGGATTTTGACGAAGAAGAAGATGACGATGATCTGTATGAAATTCATGTTTTTCTCTCAGATTTTCTCCCTCCCAAAATCGCCCACTAAAAATAATTCCAATAAAAAGCTATTTGACTTTTTTTTTCCCTTCTAAGATCTCTCAGACGACCCGATCCGACCCGATCGAGGGTGGTCAACACTCTGGTAAAAACTGAAGTCAAAGCAAAGCATTTTCTCTTCATCCCATACTATGCAAGAATCCCATTTTCAGTTTCCTCAATCTATCTAAATCAAAATCATCTACATGGTTTTGTTTGCTCTCAGATATGAATCTACGCCGGCGAAAATCAAGATCACGAAGGGGGGGGGGGGGTTGAGTACCTGTGAGGCCCAAGTTTCTGAGGTCCCAGAGCAAGAGGTGGTTATCTGTGCCTCCGGTGACCAGTCGGCACTTTCTTCTGAGCAGGGCAGAGGCCAGGGCCTGGGCGTTCCTCTTCACCTGCTGGATGTAGGCCTTGAACTCGGGGGTCGCCACCTGCTTCAACGCTATGGCTAGCGCTGCGATGTGGTTGTTGTGGGGCCCTCCTTGCATGGAAGGGAAGACAGAAAAGTTGATTCTGTCCTCGAAGTCGTATTGGTCGCCCTCGTCGGCTTGGCAGAGCGATATTCCCCGCTTCCTCTGCTTCCTGCCCTTTCGGTAAAAGATTATGCCTCCCCTTGGGCCCCGGAGGCTTTTGTGAGTGGTGGAGGTGACGATATCGCAGTAATCGAAAGGACTCAGGCACTCCTGCAGGGTCACACAGGCACCAGATCTCACGGTTAGAGATATGAATTTAGTATTCAAAAGGCAGCTTCTAGAGAGAGAGAAAAAATAAATTAGGGAATAAAAAAGGGATAGAGTAAGATTGTATTGGAGAAATTTGGGGGGGGGGGGATTGAATCCCTGAGCAAGAACAAAAGTAAATTCAAAAGGGTTTAAGCCAAAAGCGTCCCTCTTAATTCTGAATCAGATTATCAGTGAGAGAGAAGGATCTACAACTCAATGATTTGATGAGGAACAAGCATGGGCCAAGATGTATTCCCCAATGTTATCAAGAACGACATCTGTCAATCAATATTCAGGCAACTGCGACCCGAAACAACACTGTTTGATGTATCTTGCATTTATGCCTTAATTATCAAAAAAAGGAGGGAGAAGGAAGCAGACTGATGGGTGTCACCAAGAAGCAGTTCATATGATAACTTTCTAAACTAGAATCAATGTAGCGTAAGGAACGAATATCGGAAACAGAAGCATGAATAGATTTTAGAGAATGGTATTCCGCAGGATAAATAGTAGAGAAACATGACTGCAGTCTCCTAACTTCTAAGATAATCTGAATTCGTTCCGAAAATTTTCAGCTATTATTTTCTTTTGGAGAAGAACGCATGACCCATCCTCAGCTTCTTTCACTAGGAAATATGATTCTCGTTTTTCTGCATGAGAAAATAGAAAAAATTTGAACCAAGTACTCGAGGATTTGGTTGTCACTTTAGTGAGAAAATATTTTGACTATTTTCCGTCATCATGACTCCAATGTTATCATTGGACTCATTTTGTAAAAAAATTCAAAGCTCTGGAGATGGGAATATTACATTCGGAACCGATGCAGTAAGCTTGTGCACATTGTTTTTAAAACTTTTCTAGACGCCCAGAATGCAAATGTACACTTGTATAATAATATGTTATACGAAGAAAACAAGAAACATTTACTGATCACAGAGAAGACAAAACACAGCCAGAACAACCACACGGTCTGACGTTATGTAAAATGTTCGCGCCTTTCCTTCATCATCTCCTTCTAGAAAAATGAGGAAGATTTATGTCACTAGATTTCATGAAGAACTACTAACGGCCTGATTGATTGAAAAATCAGCAAAAATACACGTTATAAGAACAAATATACAACCCTCTATGAAGAAAAAAACTATATTAAAGTAACCCACATAGATGGTATAAGTAACGAAGGATGTTTCTAGGATTATAGGCCTCCATTCACTTAGATATCAATGATACCGTCAACTAGAGCACAAACACATCCTTCTCCTTTGCAACAACGTCCCTTCCCCGATCTTAAAGAAAAACTGTTATCATCAACTCAGCATACATGAAGGGAAGAAAACAAATCATTCCTGAGTTTTCTGTGGACCACATTCTCCAACTTTGGCTATACCTCCTCAATCTGACTATTCAGCAGGTACCCATGAAGAATCTATGAATTTAAGGAGGATTTGAATATGCAACGTGAATGAACAATGAATTACATTAACGTGGTTCACGAGTTTATATGGGATACGTCAATGGCTATTCTACATCTAATGAACTGCAAGTGTGAAAGAATAGCAATTTGAGTCACATATTCTTAGAATAGTCGTACTCGAAAAGCGTAATAACGACTCAAATAATTACTGTGATCGTTTTCTAGTGCGAAATTCTATAATATGAAAGTGGTGGTTTAAATCCACCAGCCAAAGATGCAAATTCAACTTTACTTTAAGAAGAGGGCGATGCTCATAACAGTAAACTTGCATACTAAGATATCCATACCATTAGTTGAATCAATAGAATAGACCAAAAAGACATACGCCAAGAGAAATTAAATACCTTAGCAGCAACAAGACCACTGATGTGAGCCATGTCACACATCAGAACCGCCCCACACTTATCTGCGATCTGCCTGAACCGTGCAAAATCCCATTCCCTGGGATAGGAGCTCCCACCACAAATCAATATTTTGGGGCGATAATCCAATGCCCTTTCCTCGAGCTTCTCATAGTCGATATACCCCGTGTGCGGGTTCACCTTATATGCCAAGCTCTCAAAAAAAATCGATGCCCCTGATACCTTCTTTCCACTGGGTGTGTAGTACCCGTGACTCACATGGCCACCAGAAGGGGAATCCAACCCCATAATACGATCCTTGGGTAGTAAAAGTGCGGTATAAACAGCAAAGTTGGCTGAGGTACAAGAGTACGGCTGCACATTAACGCCCCAGCATTCTGGGTCAAGACTGAAGGCCGCCAATGCACGTTCCCAACACAGCTTCTCGATCTGATCGATGTACTGATTACCGATATAATAACGTGCGCCAGGAAGCCCTTCGGAGTATTTATTAGTCAGATGGCTGCCAAGTGCATCCAGAACGGCCTTGCAAACGAAATTCTCCGAAGCAATAAGCTCAATACCCTTAAACTGCCTCTGCTTTTCCTTCTCCATGATCTCAGATATATCGGGATCAGCTGCAGCAAGGCTCTGATTTCCCCAAGCTCGAACGGCGGCCCTCCGTGAATCAAGATCTGGTTCAATCGATGCCTTCTTCTGAGGATGGAGAGATGTAGACGAGCACGAAGAAGAAGATTCCCTTTCCTTCCGCTTTCTTAGGGACATCGGATAACCCAGGATGCTGAACTCCCTCTGATCTTCTTCGGACTCGTCCCCGTCACTCACGGCTGCCGACGAGTTCTCCTTGACATCTTCAGGCTGTTGGTCAAGCAGCTGCAGCGGGACCGATCGGACAGGCTGGGAACTTTCTCGGCAGCTAGAATCCACGCGGAAGGAAATAGAATCATCGAGGCTCGGAGCAGCGTGGGGAACGGGGGGAGCGTGGAATCCCAGCGAGAGGTTCGACGGCGGGGAAGTAAGATCCATGGGAAACGAAAATTACAAGTCGAGGAAACCCTACCGCAGGAATCTTATGAAGTCCTATTGGCAACGACAGCGATCGCAGCAGCAGGAACAGGGGCAGCAGTTTCCGGAGGAGGAGGATTGTGGATGGCGAGGGGCTGGAGAAGGGAGGTCAACTTCCATAGAAGAGGGGAACGACGAGGAGCGAAACTGTCCCTAACTCAACCCTAGCTTCCTGCGGTGGAAAGATCGAGGAGGCCCGGAGAATGACGCCAGAGTGTCAATTTTATTCCACACCCAATTAAACCCATTTAAACGCTTTTCATACCCATAAATTGTTAATATGTATATCAGCCTCAAGCAGAAGAAACTATATTGCACATATGGACAAACATTCAGGCGGGCCCGGGCCTTTCTAAAGTCGGGCTAGGCCGGGCCATATTTTTACGGGCTAGCTGGGACCCGACGTGGGTGTAACGACAGGCCAAGATCTGCCCTGACACCAGGGCTGGGCCGGGGCGAGTCCTGAATCTTAGTTTAGCCCAGGCCCGAATGCCAGAGAGATTTGAGAACCTAATCGGGCCTGCTTTTAACTCGACTTTAATTTCGAGGCCCGAGAGCAGGAGACCAATATATTATTAGCTAATATATTAATATTTTCGAAATATCACATAATATAATATATAATTTTCCGGGTCTTAGGTCAGCATCACCCGCGGATAATTCGAATATTAATATGTACCAATTACTACCTTAAAAAATAGTTCTTACTGGGATATTTGAACGTTACGAGACATATCGCTATCATATTTTTTTAATATATAATACATAATCTTCCTGATAAATACTCAGAGTGAGATACGATTTAATGGTCCAGCGTTTTAAATATTCTTCTGGTCTTAAAAAAAAAAAAAACCGGTTGACTAGCTGTCGGGGATCAAGAGGCCCAATGACGGCCCAGCCCATTCATACCAACTATATGTGATTATTGTTGATAATCAATTACGAGCTCTTATTATGTCGATAATTTTTCAAAGGAATTGAAATTTTCGCTCAGATATATTAAATAATATGCAACTAAATGGACCCAATTGGGCAACTAAAGAATATGCAACTAAATTAAAGAATATTTTGATATATATTTTCATGTATAAGAAATATGACTTCCGAACAGCAGGTATGGAACCAATTGGGCAGCCAAAATGGGTGATAAGTTCCCGGAGAAATTTACAAAATAGGGCATGACCCCAAGAGAAATTATATTTTATTCCTTTTTTTTTTGTAAATTAGAAAAAGGGGATGAAGGGAGGAGCTTGAAGAAGAAGAAGAAGAAGAAGAAGAAGAAGAAGAGAGAGCGCACCTCTGATCTGATTATCTAAGCATCTGGGATGGTCAGAAAGTACTGAGACATGAACTTTCTGAATCTCTTCCTGTATTCCTTAGGTGAGATGACGGTGGGCAGCTCGTTCTTGGGAAGAACCCAGGAGGCCTTCACCCAGGTCTCCAGCTTCTTGTCCCAGGTGTACTGCCTCAAGTAGTCGATGATCCCGAACACAAGCTCTCGCCGCTTCTGATCCACCCCGATGAGCAGAGAGTAGTCCATGACGTCGATCGACTGCAGACAGAAAAAAGTCAACCCTGAAGAGCATCCGGGGTGGGGGTGGGGGGGAGGGTCAACTCACGGTGAGGAAGGAGGTGTCGTTCCAGATGGCCCGTTGAAGGAGGCGCTTGGTCTTCACGCTGACGTAGATCGGGTGGACCCCCATGTCCTGCATGAAATTCTGGTCTAGGAGGACCCTGTCGGGGTCATCCCCATCAGGAACATAGCGGGAAAAGACGGCGCCTTTGAGATCATACACGCGAGAAACGCTTCTGCCGTAGAGAAGGTTCTCCATGACCACCACGTCGGTCTTCGTCTCCTTCCCATTTTTAGTCCGCTTGACCTGCGAAGGAAGAGGAAAGTGGGGATGCTTTCCATAAATGGGAAAGAAAGATCAGGTGTTCAGGGGAAGGAGCAGCTGCCCACCTGGTACATCCCCAGGATCTTGGCGAGGCACATCTGGCTGCCTGAGCTCAGTGAGGAGGAGACGCACTTGAAGTAATCCGGGGCGAACCTCAGGAAGGAGTCGAGCTCAGTCCTGCTGATCTGCTTTATTATCAGCCTGCCGTCCAGAGACTTGGCGAACAGGGCCTTGCTCTTCCCCCCCTGAGCGTTCCACTTCTTGCAACGGGCGATTGAGGAGATGTAGGCCGTCTCGGATGGGCAGAAGCGGGCCCTGAGAGAGCGGAATTGCTCCGCGAATAAGCAGACCACGGCGAATCCGGTCTTGTCCGCGGCCCTTCCAATGGGCACCCGGGTCTCTGGATGCAGATTCTCTGAGAACAGGAGGTGGTCGACGAAGAGCGAGCCGGAGAGGTTCAGCAGTTCATCGGATAGAGCAGATGGGCAGCTCAATGCCGTGCGTAATCCATGGTTTGATGTGCCGTCAGCGGGAAGATGATGATCTTGATGCCCGAAATTTTGGATGTTATCCGTCGATTTGTACGAGCCCAGCTGGTTCAGGAGGTGCTGTTCATGAGCCAAGCCGAGAGCAAATGCTATGATGCTGGAGAGTTCCTCCTCGCAGACCGAGATAACGTCTCCATCTATGCCTACCGGGAAGTGCATCCACTCCCTGTACTGGCTGACCAGCTGGTGCTTCGGGGGAAGATGCAGAGGGGTGTAGTTCTGGATGAAGTCAAACTTCTGCGATGAGCCCCCTGAAAGATCACCTTCATATGCTCGGAGAATATCAGAGAAAGGTTCCCAGATCCACCCATGTGAGCCCCGCAGGTGATCCTGGTCTGAGATGCTGGCGTCCAATGATCTTCGGCTATCATCTGCCTGCGTGCTGTCAGAAGTATTCCATCTCTCTGGCGGAGGAGACGATGACATCGCCGTTGGGGGGCTCTGCTTCATCTCTGAAGAGAAGTCCTCCCCATTACCATTAAAATTACCATTACCATTACCATTACCATTACCATCCGTGTGGACTTCTTCTGCTCGTAAGAGCTCGTCTTCGGTTTGGACAGAGCAGAGGGAATCGATCCGGCGGTCCCATATGTACAGCTCGAGGAGGAGCACTTGATTCATGAAAGGCAAACTGTGTGTTCTGTGCCCGCTTTGTAGCGCCTGATTCTTGTTCATGATATTCGTCAAGGAGTCCTAGAACAGAAGAACAAATACCCAACGAAGAAGCTTGGTGGAGGGCGGCAAGATATATATATATATATATATATATATATACATTTAAATAAAATCATGAAATCTAGTGGACATGATTATGACGAACCGGACTGCCATACTAACCTCGAACGCACACTTCTCTTCTCTCCACATCTTCTCGACTTGGTGGAATTCCATTCTGGGGCCATGGTTCTTTCTGGGTTGCTTGCAAGGTTCCGATTTTATCTTCACAATCAGGTTTGCGACATCCGAAAAGAGCTGCTTACCCTTTTCAAGCATCTTGAGAAAGAAAACCAGAAAGACTGAGAACGAATGGTGCGTGGTAACAGATTGATAAAAAGGTTGTATATCGGATTACATACATCGCTGGCTTCTCTGTCGAGCGGGTCTTGACCCGTTCTGCTGCTGAAATCCAAGACCGGTGGCGGCTGGCAAGCTGTGTAGATATCAATGGAGGAATACATGAACAGTGCAACGGAGGATCCCGATCTGTTCGTATTCAAAAGGATCAATAGATTTGACAGTGAAAAAAATCAGTAAGAAAGCAAAGCCAAGTAATCATTCATACCCGAAGAAAAGAATCCGGTCTCTGTACAGCAAATGCCCACGTCGAGAAATCTTCCCATCAGTAGAACGGCTTGAAAAGCTGAGCTCCAGGAATTTGCCAAATGATAGACCTCGACCAGCTTTGGACATCATCACCCTTCTTGTCGCCCTAGGGCTGACATGTCCCTGCCCATGCGTCGTACAGCGGGCCCACATCCAGATTTTCCCTTCCGCTTCACCTGGCAAACGCTTTTCTGGGGGAATCCTTTTGATCATGACAGTAAGATTCCCATTATGGTGAGTGTAGCTATAAGAGTGAGCTTGTGGTGTTTCACTGCACGCAGAACAGCTTTTCTCCTGCCATCAATGCATCCCTTGTCAGCAATGGGAGGTATTATAACCCTACCAGCAATAGCCAACAAGAAATATGATGGTTGCGCAAACCTTGTTGAGTAAGATTTCTTGAAGAAATTGCCCGAGAGACACATCGGATTTCCCATAGTATTTAATACGAGAAAGGTGGTTTCTTTCGCAAATGATCCCTTTTGATACGCATTGCCTGGAGCGCAAAATCAAAATGCCTTGGTTATCCAAAATATTGTCGATATAACCCTTCTTTGGAAACTGGGTCAGTCCACAGATTTCAACGTTACTTCGTCCGTTAAAATGTGACGCTTGCTCAAAGTGTCCATGGTCAGGAACCTCATCATGCAAGCCTCTTGGTGCAGGACAATTTTCACGGGAAGAAACACCAGGTTTGGATTCAGCAATATCTCCGACTCCATTTTCTCCTTCTGTCACTGTATCTTTGCTGAAATATTCTTCTTTAGGAGAATTCCCATGCATATCACCGGCGATGGAGATGTCCATATCATATGCAAGTGTGCATGTTGAAGATTGTTCGGGGCTAGGAATGATTCTGTCTGAGGTAGAAGAATTACGTGTAATGGTAGAGATACTATCATCTGATAAGGAATAATTAATTTTGCGAATGTCCGAGAAAATTGCCCTTTGATCTGCCAAAAATGAGGTTTCTAAAATTAAATGATAAGCAGCAGAAACTGCAGACTGTATGACGCGTTTCACCCTCTTCAGTTTTTCGTTCTGATCTCCCTTAAGCAAAATCTGCAATCAGAAATAATTGTATCCTACGTTTAAACAAAGTTAGAGTAGAAATAATCTGATGTACTTGTATCAATGTGATATCGCAAGGGGGTTTGCTGTTCATTGTACTGTTTTCTCCAAATAGTAGCACTTGTCAAAATATCGAAAGATCCTAAGTCGGGATCCCTTTCTATGGAATCCCAAGTCATTCGAATTATTGAATGAACTGTATTTTTCTAAGTGAACTACTATGAATGACAAATGGAGGGATCACTTACCGTGCATCCGAGAGGCTTTGGACAGCCCTCAAAGAACATCAGAGTCTTATTTTGCCTCTTTCCGCCTTCACCACAACACATATGCTCCTCAAAAAACTTTTCAATATGGAAATGATCGCATTGCTTTAGCTCTGGACTGATTGGAATCTCGGCGGAAGAGATAATCGGCGAACCAGTACAGAGAGAAATTCTCTTTAAGCGGTTAAACTTCATATCATAGACCAAAGAGATTCCTTTCTCCAGAAGAAACTCTTGTATATCACGAGACACCGTTTTCTCTACCAAAACCACATCTGGATGGCATGCATCTATCATGTCAATGGTAGCCTTTAGATAATCCATTTCCTGCGTGCAGTACCAAGATTTCAGGTGAGACAACATACATATTTAATTCGAAAAATTTAGGCACATTTAGTGCGTACCCACCTGTTCCATGGAGTCAAACGATGACAAACCAACTGCCTTCTGCCCAAGAACACCTTGAATGAGTAGCAATCTGGCATTTCTACACCTTGACGGCATGTGCCTATGTGCAGTGTTCTTCTTGAAAACCAGGCCTTTTATCAGTTGACTGCATAGCCCACAGAATATTTATGTAAGAAAATTCTTACCATACAACGTCAAAAAATAAAAGTACTACTTGTAGGTAAACTGATTAGAAGATTATGGCGTTCGTTTGATTACCTCTGACTGGGAGAACCACATGCGACACATTTAATTTTCACATATAGCCCAGGATCCATAGGATTCCCATCATTAGTGTCCGGCTGGACAAGCAGTGCAGCTTCCCATGATAAGGAAGAAGCAATGTCCAGCCAACTGTCACCAGACTCTTCCATGGAGGCAGGAATGCCCTCTGCTGACAAGAATTGCCTCACGAGGAACTTGAACCGACTGTTCATTGCCTCCACCATTGCTTTATGCCGTTCTTGTTTATGATGATCACTCAATCGGCTTTGGGAACTCGTCACACCCCATTTAGCGTCGTCAGTTGTAGTCGCGGCGCACTCTGCGTCATCTGTGATCTCTGAATCAGGAGGCAACCAGATAAGAGGATCTGTTTCTATGTTCCCCAAAATTAATCGACTAGTGATGTCAATAGCATTCTGTTCTTCATCTAAATCATCTGGGGACGTTTTATGTGGGGGACCTGCCGATGCGAGATCACCAGACAACTCCTCAACATTACTGTTCATCTGATTATGCAACATGTCTGAAGTTGGTGGAATAGAGTCGTTAAAGTCATCCCCATTATTCTTGGAGTCAAAACATTCGACCTCAATGTCAACATGCTCTGGTGAAAGCTCATCATCTTCAGATTGCGAACCTTGCCAAACTTCAAGGCTGTGATGCTGTTTACACATGCTCAGATGTTCATCTTCCTCCCTGATTGGTTGACAGAATGTAAACGAATAACTCTAACGTGAGAACAGATTGATCAACACATACATGCACATTCATCTTATCAAAGTCGCCAAATAAGGAAGAAAATGAGTGATTTAAATTATTTTCTATCATCGTGCCAGCTTACGGAGATCACATAAAAAATAAATGCAGGCGTAATATTGGAAGAGGCAGGTCTTGGTGCAGATCAAGTAAATAGGCTTACGTCCATGAAAACAATAAATAATGTGAAGCATTTTCTCACCCAGAAGATGAGTCCACATCTGCCTCAGAATCCTCTGAAGAAAAATTGAAACAAGGATGTTAAAGGCAGTTCAGATTTAGTAGCACTGAAGGAGATGTCGCTGAGAAAATATGTACCGAAAGCTGAGAAACAGCTCTTGAAGCTTGTCGAGGACGATGCCGGACTAAGAATCGGAGTTGAATAGGAACTCGAGCCATCCGTTCCAAGAGATTCTTCAAAGCCTTCAATATTAGCAGAGTAGGTTTCCTCATGGCCACAGTTGTCCTTCTCCACCAATTCCTCGAAGAAGGGACGAGAAATAGTCCCCGCCTCACATCCACGGTCATGACTTGTCCGCTCCAAACCACAATCGTAATGCATTGTGCTCAGATGCTGAAGAAGAACTTTCATTCAATACATCCGGTCACTCCAATCAAGAATTCTGACAACGTTTCTGGGATATGCGCTCGACTCCGATGAGAAATCGAAATCGAACGAGCGAAAATCGTCCGATCGGAACCCCACGAATGCATCAGAGCTGCAGAACAGAACCGGCGTCGTTAATTGCGCTCACATCATCGTCATCATAATTGATATAAAATACATATTCGAGTAAGAATGATCGACCGAATCCCAATGAGAAAATCGAAACCAAACACCCGATCTGAAGGCGAAGATAGTCGCATCAAAAATCTTCGGGCTCACTTCCAGAAGACAAAGCCGAACAGAAACGAGTTCCTGGTTTGAGAAGGAAAAGCAATCCAAGCCAACCATACATCAGCAATTGGAGCTGCAAGGAGAATTCGTCCCAACCTAAACCTGACATACGAGAAGAATCCGACAGATGAAGAGTAAAACAAAAATATAGCCGAGGAGATAACCAATTCAATAACGCATCAAGCTATCAGTCAGATGCTAGGACATTAGATATCACACCAACCTCCTCAGAAATCTCCAAAGCGCCTCGACTCGTCAACGGATACGTAGACACCACTCAGCTCAAATCCCACAGCCCTCGCCTCACATGATGTGAACAAAGTCCAGAAAAAGAGAAAAGAAAAAAGAAGAACGAGAGAGAGGGAGAGGGAGAGGCCTTTGGGACAACTGTAGAGCTCGAATTTCAAAAGCCTGGAGCTCGGAGGTCAGCATGAAGCTACCCAAGGTCCTGCTGGACGATGTAGAGAGAGAGGGAAGCACAGTTCGAAGCCAGCCGAGGACGTAGGGATATTGTCGTCTTCCTGGTCTTTCGGACGCGGCGGCCTTTATATGGGAAATCTCCGTTTCTCATCTGCGGCGGAGAATCTCTGCACCGTGGTTCACTGCGCCAGTTCTAGATGCCATCGTCCACGCTTTTGCGGTGGCGTGCGGCGTTGTGCGCCCGGTCCATAGAAATCCATGAACCGCCAAAGCCGTGGTGTCACGCGGGGCCCTGGGTCCAGGTTGGCTTGCGCTTTTGCACCTGCCCCACCGGGAGGATCCACAAGTTGAAGGGCTAAGATCAAAGAAAATCCTAAGGGGTTCTACGATTTTACGGCCAGGATCTCTCCACTAGATTCGAGCCCTGTGTCGTAAATCGCGGAGAGCGTTGACTGACGGATGGGATCCGTTTCCTCGATTTTCGCGCCAAAATATACTTTTAACTTTTATGAAAGACATCTAAATATTTTTTATTTTACTTATACCCCTATGAAACCTTGATTAACTATTTACATTTTAATACCACTTTCTTTATAAACTAAACTTTAGCCAATTTATTTATAAAATTACATATTATTTAATTCGTTTCATAAGCCTGTTCAAACTTCTCTCTCTCTCTCTCTCTCTCTCTCTCTCTCTCTCTCTCTCCCCTGACAGGGCCACGGTCGGATCCGAAGGGATGTGATCCAAATTCCATTAATATCTTCAGACAAGATCTCCTCTGGACGTGGAGGTGGTGCTTGTCTCCATTGGAACGTGGAAGGCGGAGGAATGGCCACGTGGCAAGCCGAAATAACCCAGTAATTTGGACATTTCTCGGGCCCAAAAGCATTAGAACTATCCAAAGAATTTAAATATTCCAGGAAAATTGTAAAAAAAGATTAATTAAAGTAAATATTTTTTAATTAATTAATAAGGGAATAAAGGCGTCCTGGGCTGCCGAAAAGCAGATCTACTAAAGCGACCACCCTGGCCTAAAAGCTGAGTTTTCTCGGACGGCTAACCGGAGGGGGAGAAATGACATTTTACAGGGCATATAAGCAAAAAGCGAGCTTGCGAAGGCCAAATGCATAAAAATCATCGATCGTGGAGGGAAGGTGGGGACGAATCGGTTACTGGTCCCCAGGGAAGAACGGCGCGACAGATAGAGAGAGAGAGATGGCAGGTTGCAGAGGGAGACGAAGAGAGTTCCTCACGAAGAAGATGCAGAGGATTCGATTTACAGAGAAATGGTGAGCAGAAGAGGGATTGTCTCATCCGATCCACCACCATTCGGACCTCGAATCCCCGAGTGTCGCTTGTATTATCAAGGGAGCATGGGGGAACGTCGTCTCGCGATTTGGATCAGGTTCTCAGTGGATTCCTGTCGAATGTCTTGTGGATTCGATGCTCACGACGAATCGGCGACGATCGTGGCCTTGGATCGGTAGAGAAGCTTCTTCTTCTTGAAAGTGGAGTTGTCGATTGTGAGGACGACCTTCCCTGGCTCCTCGACTCTGTAGCTGTTCTTCAAGAGAGGTTCGTCCACGGAGGTGAATTTCCTCGTCTTCTGGACGATGACGGTGTACCCATCATCCGCGCTCGGCACGAACTCCGCCCCGCAGCTCACATCCCACCCAAGGACCCGAAGCTCCCAAACGAGTACGCAGGACTGTGTTCGATCGCAACCCGATTCAAAGAGGATAAGAAGTTCCGCCCACCTGACAGTCTAGATCGGCGGAAATTTCGTTGTAGAAAGCAAACGACACACCTCAGATGCAGGAATGTCGATGGTGTGCTTGGTTGAAGGCTTGATGAAGACCTCGGTTGCAGCGTCGGAAGTGCAGAAATCTACGTCGTTCTCTTTGCTGAGACCTCCATACCGGACGGGGACTTGCTCGGGAGCTATGAATCTGAGGAAACATCAGATCGTCATACGGCTAAAAGCTCCATCGATAGAGGCAAATCAGATTTGCTGAGAAGAAATCGAGAGAACGACGGGGAGATCACTAACTCGAAAAGGGCCTCCGAAGATTTGGACGGCCCCGCGAAGACGAACTTGCTCTTGGTCCTCTGCGTGAAGAAGGGGTTGATCATCCGGTTGAAGGCCAGATACCACCACGGCACATTGATGAAGACCTACAAAAACGATATAGCACAAAAATGACAGATACACTTCCAGGCAAGGATCCAGCGAAGCAGCAGCAGAAACAGAAGAAGAAACAGAAGCGGAAGAACAATGCACTGGAAATCTCACGGATAAAAGCTGATGTTCTCTACCTTCTTGGCGACAAACTCGGGGTAGTTGTCCTGGAAGACCGCGAGGGCCTGTTTGGTGGCCTGCCGGAGCTCCCACTTGCCCAATCCCGGAGAGTTTTTCAGATCGGTGACTTGAACCATGGAGCAGATTCCCCGGGGGCTGAAGTCCAGATGCCGCCGGATCCCCTTCTCCAAGAACTGGATCCTCCACCGGAGGAATCTCTTCCTCTTCTCCTCGTCCGTGAAGACCTTGTGGTACAGATCCTTGTCCTGGAACTCCCCGTAAACGTTGTAGCAGATGGGGTGGCCCTCCTTGTCGTGCCCTTGCATGAACACCACCTTCTCCAGCTCCGGCATGCCGAGGTCCTCCTCGAGAAGCCCTTCGATTCCAAATTCCTTCCTCCAGATCACCGTGTTCTTGAGCATCTCCAGGGCGTCCTTCACCTTGAAGTCCCTGGCACGGAGGAATTTGAGGAGGATGGTGTCGCTCCTCTCGTCGCCTAACAGCGGCACCCCCCACAGGAAGACCTCTACACGGGCCACAGGGACCAAATCCTCCTCGACGACATCAACTGCCCTAACCACGCCTTCGTCTACCCCACCAGACTTCTCCTCCGCCACAGTCACGGCGGCGACAAGCTCCTTCTCCACTCTAGCGGAGTCGTCATCCAGCTTCGGCGGTTCTTCAGGTATCTCCTCCTTTTCCCTCACAACTGTCTTGGCCTTATCGGCAGCGTCCTCTTCGACCTTGGAGTCGCCGGCGGCAGTAGGAGGCTCCTCGACCTTCTCAGAGCTGGCGGGAGGAGGCTCCTCGACCTTCTCAGGGGTGGCAGGAGGAGGCTCCTCGGCCTTCTCAGCAACCTTGTTCTCTTCCTGAACGACCGGCGGCGGCGGCGGCGGAGGAGGATGGGGGAACCCGCCGGCGGCGAGGGCAACGCGGAGGAGCTGCTTCAACTCGTCGAGAGCCACCTTCTGGGAGTCTTCCAGGTCAGCCACCACGTTGCTCTCCTCCTTGAAGTAGGCGGCCAGGGGGATCCCCGACCCTCTCTTCCTCCCCTCCTTCACTCCCTCGGCCTCTGTTCCCCCTTCCTTCCCCTCCTCCCCATCACCACCACCCTCCCTCGCCGCAGCGGCGGCTGCCGCAGGGGCTTCGTATTCTGGCTCCCTTCCCTCCTCCGCCATCCAGGAAAACCAAAACCTTGGCACCCCTGAGAGAGAGAGAGACAGAGACTGAGAGAAAGAGAATAGAAAGAGAGAGAGAGAGAGACAGAGACAGAGACAGAGAGACAGAGAGACAAAGAGACAGGAGGAGAAGAAGATGGTGAAGGGGGGTCAATCAGCGGGGGGGGGTTCATATAGCCGGGGCGCAAGAGACAGACTGGCGGGCCTCTTGCTCTTTGGGGTCCTCTTCGATTTGTCCGTATCGAGTCGCATTCAGGTGGTGCGCGTCGGAGAGGGTCCGAAAGAAGGGAGATTTATTCTCTTCCACGCTGACTCAGAAGGGAGGCCAGGGGCCGGGCCGCCGATACGTGGATTTCGGGCCATTACATATGATCTCGGGGCAAACGGGTTGAATCGGGCCAATAAATCCCCCATATGGGCCAGTACAGGCCCATTAACGAAAAACCAGTCAATGCCTAGTCCACTCCACTCCTTCCATAGTCCTTCGGTGTTATCCTCAAAAAAATAATTTTATTATTTTACATAATAATTCTAAGGTAATCTAGGGCTCGGATCTGACTAGGACCAACAGAGTTGGAGTTAAGTACACCATTCAGACCAGAAGAAAATCGGAGTAATATCGAGATTATTTTAATTTTAGGCTCCTGCTTTTTGTAATGCGGAATATTATAATTACATATTAATATATAATATTATTCGGTACTCTTTTTACAAGTATAATAATATATATATAATTAAAGCACAAACGCTTGGTCTCCAACTCGTATTTTTCATGGGAGATTACGACCCAAAAGTGTCGTATTTCTGTAATAATTAAGATAGAAAATGCGCCGGTGAATTTCTAGCTTTCTGAAAATGGAAAGGAATTTCATAAACGACGACATTTCATGCGCCTTGTGCGTATATTTCTAGAGAGAGAGAGAGAGCATGATAGCATGATTTCGCGAGAATTATATATTAATTTATACATATCCGGAGATGCCATCGTCTAGCGAGAGAGAGAGAGAGAGAGAGATGACAATCTATCTCAGTCGCACTTGATGTTCCTGTAGATCCTGCGCACAAAGAGAGACGAGCCCAAGTAGCCCACAGCGCCTGAGGGTGAGCACAGATAGAAAGAAACACATCACCGTCAGCGCATAAAATGGACCAAAGCTAGTAGCGACTAGAACGAAATTCATAGAAACTAAAGCGAACAACCTTGGAATCTGACATGAATCATACGGTGGAAACCCGGAAATCCTACCCACATTAACGGGACAATGCTGGGAATCTTACACCTCACAAATATCATAAAAATAAATCTAGAAACGCATGGAAGATTAGTGAGAGAAACTGGTCTTGCAGGATGGGGCTTAAGAGGAATTTAGTGAGAGAAACTGATGGCTGGAACTCCAGAGGGCATAAAAAAAATAGAAAAAAAATGGAGGGGGGGATGACAAATGTTGATGGGCAGAGCAGAGATCTGCAGGACAAAAAAGGACTTACCGCAGAGGATTCCCAGGCCCAGGCAGAACATCAGCGTGTACCCAAAGTAGAAGCTGATCTGGAAGAGACCCGACATCCTGGTCTTCGCGTGGTAGTAGTATATGGAGTAGAGGTACGCGTAGGCTGAAGTGGAGGCCGCGGAGGAGAAGGAAGTCCACTGCCAGTGATAGTTCTCGGCGTTCAGCAGGAAGTAGGTCCCCACGATGGTCACACAGATGGTCACTATTAGGAGGATCAGGAACACCAGAAGCATGAACCCATACACGTAGTAGACCTGAAATAGCAAAAAAAATGAGAATTTAGAGGCCCAATGTATGCAGAATCTAGCAAAAAAAAGGGGACTAATGTGGATGAAATCTGACCAAAGGAGAGGCAATTCTTGAGTCCTGATGTGGATGAAATCTAAGCAAATGAGAGGTACTTAAGAAGCCTGATGTCGACGATGAAATCTAACTAGTGGAGGAGTACGTAGGAGGACAAGCCAAAAGGGAGGTACTTAAGAAGCCCTCATATGGATGAAAATCTAACTAAAAGAGGAGTAGCAACTAGGAGGCCTAATGTGGATGAAATTTAACTAAAGGAGAGGTATTATATCTGCCTAGCGTATGCCAACCTTGTCGCTCCAAAACGAAGTGAAGACGAAGTACATCTCGATGAAGATGCTGCCAAAGGGCAGAAGACCCCCCATGAGCGAGATAACCGACGGCGTCAGGTACCATTTCTTCTGTGGGATGGGGCGAGGGATGGTCTTCACGCGGCAAGGATTGTCCGGGGCACCGCTCCAGTTCCTTCCCACAACGGTGCCGAGGAGCGCCAGGGGGAACGATACAAACGCCCAGATTATGAGCATCACCACCATCGTTCCAAAGGGGATAGCAGCCAGTGACCCGTAGAAGATAGCAACTGTGTTTAGAATGAACCCAATACCGAAGCACGAGAATGGGAAGAGTGATGCCGTCAGGATCATCGTCTTTATCCAGCTTTTACCTGGGCAAAATTCAATCAAATGGGAATGCATATTAAAGGGATGCTGGTAGAACCGGGGATGAAGAGTCGCCAAATTTCAATGGCTTCCAGCAATTTTCAACGCCAGGGAGTCAAACGTGTGCAGATCCGTACCACCATTGCGTGAGTAAAGTCCACCACTAACATAGCCCGAACTGAATGAAGTCAGCGCATAGCATACGATGAAGGTCGTGACAATTGTTCCACGTCTGGACAAAAAAAGAAATTATAAAAAAATGTAAGGACATGAAGGGTGCTGTGCTGACAAATGGGTAAATGCAGAGACTCTCCAAAGTTTCGTCTTTTCTGACTTGTGAAACATTTCTAGGGTTCAAAGTCAAACCATAAAGCAACTAGCGAATCATCAATACCACCATCCCTCAAAGTCAATCTTATTTACTTCTCAACGAATTAAATCTACTGGTGAAAAAGATATACAATGGGCAGTTGTCGTAGGTGAGCTTACAAACAGTAGCTATTTGTGGAGGATCTCCTTCAGGCAATAAACAACAGAGGGGCGGGCATCAGTGGATTGGGTAGGCATGGGAGCCCGTTCCAGTGCTTATCCAGGCTGATTCTGAGCTCTGAAAATGTCTTATCCAAATCCCAGAGGACCATCACCCTTGCCATTGTTTGTGTGGCCTTTCTTACTGGTGTCCCTCAACCCTAACACAACCCCTAATGGCTGCACCCTCCCATTTCCCCAACCACAATCCCTCCAAACCCGGCCCCAGAGAAAACCAAAAAAAAAAGGATATATATATATATATATATATATATATATGTATATATGGATAATCTGAAGGTCATGAAACAGTTACTGAAAACAGGTCAAAGAGAAGGTCAGAGTCCTGTTCTGAAAATATGAAGGCCATGTGATAACTTACCCAACATACAACGTTCCGACAATGGCCAATAGAATGACGAGGAGAACAAGCAGAGCAAGCTGAGCACCTGTACCAACGAGAGCAGAAAGCAGAGCCAAACCGAATGGAGGTCTAAAGACATCTCCATGCACAAGCTTCCATCCAGATTCGTCACTCACATCCCTTTCCTAGATAAATGGAAACATTCTTCACAACGAAGTGGTATATAGCGATTTGGGCATCAAATGCATACTAAATAATCATATAAAACTAGGAAAGAAAGAGGAAAGCGAAGCAATGATGATGGTATGGCATGGTCAATTACGAGGGTCTCAAGATCTTCTTCTTCACGAGCATACTTTGCATAGTCATTTCTCAGAGTTCGCATCAATATCATCGACACCAAACCGGTGAGGAAGATGACCATCATAAACGAATTGAAAATCGAGAACCAATGGATCTGCCAAAAGAAATGTTCACGTTGAGCTGAGATACATAGCAGTAAAAATGAAATAGAATGCAGAGAAAGAAGGTAGAAAGGAGAGAAACTGCGGCTAGAGTTAAATCAGTAGGACCATATATATAATGTTCAATGAAAAAGAAATTACTTGATGCTCAAAGAAAGGATAGTCCAAGTAAACATCAAAGCGCTTTGCAAATGGAATATCTGTCTCAATCCACTTGACAGAGTACGTCATATCTAATCCTTTCCCAACTTCCAAATGTTTAGCACCCCCTTGAGTGAGGTTTACATGGATGATCTGAAAATCAAAACATTTTTCAAATAGTGGATTGAAAAGGAAGGTAATATGTCATTAAAAAAGTGTGGCATATATGCTAACACAGTAGACCACAAACCTGATCACCATTGTATTTGATGACGATATCCTTGTGAGTATAAAGGTAATATTTTTCTTCATTTCTTTTACTAGCACGAACTTCCCCAACATAGCCTGACCACAACTTTACAAAGTGTAAGATCAATATGCAATGAAGGAAGACATGAAAGATGGCATATGACGACACTGAAAAAGGAGAAAGTGCCCATACCCTGTAAAGGCAAATCGTCTGATTAAGGAGAATGACGCATGGCGACCAAAAGGAAAAAGGAAACGAATCAGAAATCAGAGGAAACAAAAAATAAAGATGAAGCAATGAAAAATGTTATAGGGTTGAGGCTCCGGGAGGTAAGAAAGCAAAAGATCGAGAAATTTAACAACATACCCATGAATAATTCAAGCCAATACAAGTTGTCGATTGCATCCTCGAACTGCTTCACCTTTGCAGCATCAAGTTCAATAGTACAAATTGAAACCTTCTCAACATTTCCTACCAAGCATATTGATAGATGATCAACCAAAGAAATACAGATCTCCAATACTGGATTCCAGAATTTTTTCTTTGCTATGATATAATCAATTCATCAAGGATAATCATTGAAAATACAGGATAGAGTGATACGTACTTCGATAATTTATTTTAATCTGGCTATCAATAAGCTCATTCCCGCCAAGTACCTCCCCAAGCCCAGCCCACTTATGAGCTGGGTTCTCAGCAGGCTGGCAGAAAGGAAGGCTATAATAGTTATAAGTTTCCTGGCGGTTATAGTCGGGCCCAACCTTGTTTACCCACAATGTAACATTGTCATTCACTTGATACTGCAATGAAAATCATAAAAAGCTGGTAAGGGTCATAGAAAATCCCAGTTCCGATACATAAATAAGATACCTAGATAGACAAAGAGAAGGAGGGGGTAGAGGGAGAGACGTGAGCAGCACTAGCAGTTTCCATTCGTTGTAGAACAGGTTATCTTAAGTTCAAAATGATGGCTCCATTTTCTATCATTCACTGGCCAATTCCTCCAAGAGGCACGCAATCAAAGATCACAATTTTTGTAGCCACTGCTCGCCGATTTTAAGGTTGAGGAGGCCCACAAACAATTAAAACCCTTCCACAACCTCACTAGTGGAGGCCCCATCACAGGTAGGTATTTTACCCTTGCGTGTGAATCTCATCTGACCATTTCATATGGAAAGTCATTTTAGATGATAAAGAGTAGAAAAGTTACCAAAGCGGGAAAGAGCTTATCCTGTTATCATTGGAAGAAGGATTTATTGAGGTCTTTCATTCATCAATAGATTGAACGCCCATACCTCACATTAGCGTACCAAATTGCCAGCCATCCAACTGAATATTAACCACAATATTTTATTCGCATGAGAGTGCCTCAACATTTGCTCATTCATCCCCTTGTAGGGAAAAAAAAAACTTCTATCGACAATACATTATAGGGTTGCAAACAGCTGATAACCATCAAATATTCTTCCATCTTCAACCAGTGACCCCAAGATGCTCAGTCAAACAGTGGCCTTCAAGACAACGGCTGGAGATTTCTGTAGTCACTTCTTGCAGCATTTGCAAATGCTATAAGTTCCGGCCAGAATTAGATTCTCATGTCCTATGCACAAACAATAATAGAAATAAGACAATGTTCCCAATTTATTTGCCCTTGACCTTCGAATAAGAAAGGAAATCTACCCTAAGAGAATCACCAGGTAAACAATGCCTCATCTTTCAATACCAGCTGAAAATTTTCCAGACTGACTACACTAGGCCTTATGTGCAGGCTGCTGCTCGAATTCATACTGATGCGTGTATCGAGGTTTTAATGATTTTAAATTTTCAGAAGACTAGGTCATATCTTGCTCTATGGTCTGGCCAATCGTTTCTGAAAGTCAATTTCTAAATATCACACATTTACCGCACGCTATCCACCATGCCATTTTTTTGATAATTACCCCATAACATCTATGGTCACACCCTCACAAGTCACTACCCTAAACAATGCACAGCTAAAGACAAGACATCAATTCACTTGATACCTAACATTAGTATTCCTTATAAACTAAAATGTCAGGATTTCCATCCTGGGTGCTTGTTGGTACGTCTGTCTAAGACATTCTGTTGATTCTCTTCTCGTATCCCACGATTTGGTACTATCAAACTATAAACATTTATAATTTTTTTCAAATAGACTAATTAATTTAATTGAGACATCCTCGAAAGTTATAATGGATGCAAAATTTATTGTCAATATTAAAGACTGAAAAGTTGAAGACGGACGAGAATAATCACCAGGTAAATTTTAGAGGAAATATGAGAATTCTATTATAGTATGATATGGTCTACAACAGCAATGTCCAATCCAGTTCAAGCCACAGCCTATTAGCTCAGGAGTATGAATATCTATAAAATTCAATCGGCCTCGGTGCAAATGTCCATGAAAAGATATGGGCTGACGCACCAATGCAATCCACTTAGCAGGGGCAATTAATTCTACAGATCATTCAGACAGTCTTCAGAAGAGTAACACTTTTAACAGTAGACCGCTACAGCAGGTTCGCCAAGATCTCTAAACAGTAGGTGACGGAAAATATACCAACGAACTACCACGAATTTAAGAGGAAATTCCTGTCACAGACGTATAACAAAAAGTAAAAACATTCACTCAATAGAGTCCCTCTCTTTTAGCCAGCTTGATCGATCAGTCCAGAATGAACATCATACGCTACCGGGGTCGAGCCACCGCAACGTAATACCACAGGTACCGACACAAATCCTCCAAATTATGGCCAAGTAATCCGTAGATCTGAAGAGGAGCCCTACAGGCCCTTCTTCCTGAGTACACCACGGATCGCAATTCGCAGTTCCCGATGGATTCCGCGGTGAGGGATTCCAGAGATAACACGCAAAGCTGGATGCGCGGAGATCACCCGAGCATGGTGCACGTACCTTGTGGTCAGACTCGGAAGCGGAGACGACCACGAGGAGGAGCGAGGGAAGTAAGGCCAGGAGAGGGTGAAAACCGACACTCGGATACATGGCGGTCGGGATCTCCTCAGACGACAGGCCCTTTCGCAACTCCCCTATCGATGTCCCCCCTCCCCCGCTCAGACCCCAATAGAGAGAGAGAGAAAAGCGTGTCCATATATATTTAGCGAGAGAGAGAGAGGAGATCGAGAGAGAGAGATAGAAAGAGATTGAAAGAGATAAAAAGAGAGACAGAGATAGAGGGAAAAAGAGAGAAAAAGAGATAAAAATAGAGAGAGAGATGGAGACAGAGATAGAGAGAGAAACAGATAGAAAGAGAGAGATAGACATAGAGAGAGAAAGAGATAGAGAAAGAGAGAGACATAGAGAGAGAGAGAGATAAAGAGAGAAAGAGATAGAGAGAGAAAGAGATAGAGAAAGAGAGAGACATAGAGAGAGAGATAGAGAGAGAGGGGGGGAGGGAGGGGGTTTTCGAACCGGGCGGTTGTCCAGGATTTTGAGGCTAAAAGGCCCCATGGACTTTTAGGGCAGGTAAAAGCCCAAATGGCCGCTTTACGCGGCTTGAAATTTTAAAATATAAAAATTATGTAAATATATATTTTAATGATATTTTATATAGCCATTTGGGAGTATTTTTAATGGTGGCTGTGACTTAAAAGGTCTGACCAGGCTGTAAATTCGGTGGGCCCATTCACCCATGGGTTGAGTTTCTTTTCCTAATTATTATTTGAATATTAATAAATGACTATTAATTTTGGATTTTAATATTATTTGAATATTAATTTCGTGAAGAAAATCCTATAATGGAAATATTATTTCTGAGTCATTGACGTGACTCAGCGGCAGCCACCCAATCATCACTAATCCTATGCATAAAAATAGATATACACGTGTTCTCTTCACATAGTGACACGTGACAGCTGCAAAAATAGCCCCTGCAATAATCTTGGACCAGGGCACCTGGACATATGATCATTAAGAGAGAGCGTCATAATTCAACTGTATGTATTACCGAGGTGAGAGAGAGAGTGTATGTGTGTGAGAGGGAGAGTGTGTGTGAGTGAGAGAGAGTGTATGTGTGTGTGAGAGAGAGTGTATGAGAGAGAGAGATTGCGAGAGAGGGAGAGTGTGTGCGTGGAAGAGAGAGAGAGAGGGAGTGTGTGTGTGTGAGAGAGAGAGTATGTGTGTGAGAGAGTGTGTGTGTGAGAGAGAGAGTGTGTATGAGAGAGAGAGAGAGATAGCGAGCGAGGGAGTGTGTGTGTGTGTGTGAGAGAGAGAGAGAGAGAGAGGGGGGGGGAGAGAGGGATAAACCGGCGGACGCGTACCGGGAGGGGGGTGAAGTGGGGGTTTCAGGAGCGCCGCTTGACAGTGGAAGCCGGGGTGCCGTCGAAGAGGTCGTCGATGAAGGTTTCAAGCTCTTCAGGGCCAAACTTGATGTACTTCTCCGACTGGCGCCCCGCGTCAAGGTACTGCTGAAACCTTCCTAGGAAGGATCGGTAAGCGGGCACCACAACGGAGCACACTGAAACCCTAAGCTCCGATTGCAGCTGCTCGTCGCTCACAATCCAGCAGCTTTGCGTCTTGTGGATCTCCTCAAACATGGCATTGAAGCTCCTGAATCTCTCCTTGAGCACCGGCTTCGAGACGCTCCCCTTCACCTGCAGGCCCTCGTCTCTGAAGCAGCCGAGGACCTTCCCCCAAGTCTCCCTCTGGTAGTTCTTGTGGTACTGACGAAGATCCGAGGATCTCTTGCGGCACCAGGCGTCCCCAAGAAGGCCGTGAATCTCCGCTGTTCCTTTGATCTTCTGCACAATGTACCTCCCGTTGTTCATCAGGAAGATGTGGCTCAGAGAAGGGTCCTTGTAGAGCTTCGATTTGGCCTCAAGATTGGCGTCCAGCAGGTCCATGACTGCCATCAGCTGCATCGCAAATGGGGAGTGCCGGTTTCCGCCGGTTGAGTTAGGGTTAGGGTTTCTGCTGTTGTTGTCGTCTTCGTCGCGAGGAGAGGCTGGGGTCTCCGGCCTTCTGCACTGCAAGAATACCTCCTCGAGGGTGTTCTTGTACTCGCAGGTGTATTTGAGGTAGTTCATGACGTAGCGGGTGAGGGGATGGACGGCGCCGCCGGGAACGGGGGTCCTCCCGGCGTCGCTCTTGATGGAGTTCTCCAGTTCGGAGAATATTCCGACGGCGGCCTCCCCTAATCGGGACCTCGCGGCGGCAATCTCCGCCTTCAGGTCCGCCGCCGGCGCCGGGTCATCCCCCTCATCTTCCTCCTCCTCCTGGTAGTAAATCCCCTCCATCTTCTCTGTGAGCTCTCGCAGGGCCTCGAACATGTCGAGGAGCTTGAAGAGCTTCTCGGCCGAGCGCTTCGTCATGGCGACGGCCTCCGCGAAGTCAAGGAACTGGATGACTACGCCCCGGAAGAGGTTGCCGAAGAGGCCGCCGGCGATGCGGGGGCGGCCGGCGAAGACGGCGCAGCAGAGATCTCTCTCGCGGGGGAAGGAGACGGAGGCGACGTGCCGGAACGCCCTGATCCAGGCGGCGATCTCCCCCTCCAGTGACTCCCACGGCATCTTCTGCACCTCCTCGATGCTCATCTTCTCGAATCCAAGGCTCGAGATACCCAACTCGAAGACGTTGCGGCGGAGAACGGCGAAAACCTGGCAGCACTCCGCTTCATAGCCCGCGGATACCATGGTGGAGGCGATTCTCCGCAGCATCTCGACTGTCTCCGGCAGGTACGCCGGAGAATCCTGGCCGCCGCCGCCGCCGGCGGTGGCGGCGGAGTTGCTTGTGGGTTCCTGTAGCGGGGTTCGCGGGCTGCGATCGGCGTCGTAGGTGGAGCTCTGAGGCGGTGGTGCCGCCCACTTTGTGGACTCTGCGGGGACTGAACCAGTTTCTTCCAGGAGGAGGCGGAATTCGTCCTCCAGGAAGGCCATGGCCCGCTGGAGGACAGCGCCGGCGCGGTTCAGAGCCTGTGAGTACGCCGGCTCCGACGGGAACGCCGCCAGAGCGGTGACGAGCTTGAAGACACGGTCTATAGCTTCGAGGATGAAGAGGGGTACCGCCGCGGCGCGGTCCTCGCCGGAGTCAAACTCCGATATCTCCCCCTCGACCATGGCCAGCAGCTCCGCCATCGCGTGGTGGGGAATGCACGGCAGGGTGGCGGCCCCCGGCGGCGGCGGGGCCGCCAGGAACTTGTCGATTTCGCCGGAGATGGCGATGAAATCGGGGGCGGTGGAGACGTCCTCACCGGAGATGGGTTTCTCCCCATCTTCTCCCTCTTCCTCGTCTTGCTTCTTCTCATCTTCTTCCTCCTGCACCTGTTCGGGCCTTTCTCTCTCTTCCCTGTCGCCGTAACGGGCCTTGAGTGCCCCCATGGACAGGTTCCGGGTGGTCTCGGGCTGCTGCTTCTTCTCCTCCCGGCACGTGAAGCTCCCGGATTTCTCCGGTAGAAGACAAGGTTTCCTCTCCATCACCCCCCCCCTCTCTCTCTCTCTCTCTCTCTCTCTCTTTCTCTCTCTGTGTAGCAGAGGGAATACAGGAACAGCAGAAAGTGGAGGAGGAGGGGGAAGGAGAGGGAAGAGGAGAAGATAGCGGGGTCGCCGTTGTTGGAGGAAGGGCGGGGATTGAAAGGGTCGCCGGAGTCGGAGGAGGTGGGTTTCCAGCGAGCGCCCGTCGTTCTCGTTGATTATTTTTTAAAAAGCTTAACGATAATATTACCGAGCCTGCTATAGCTATAAATAGGAGCATTATGCCACGTGTCCACCCCTTCGCGGCTGAACACTGCCGTAACCCGAGAATAGGAGTGCGCCCTGTAATCTACCACTCCCGTAGCCCGAGTAAATGGGCTCGATGACCTGGCCTTAATAGGCCAATTCATTGGGCCCTGTCAGGTGGCATTCGGAGAAACAAATGACGGGCCCATCTTTAGGATGTGGAATTCGGGATGTGGGTTCTTACTAAGAATACATACATACATATATATATATTATCATGTTTTAATATTTCTTCTATACGTTTAGGGAGACAATTTAATTTTATATTTTCCAATCAACATGGCATTATATCATTTTCGTTCTTAGAAGGGTAATTTTTTATTACTCAATAATAGCACAAAGTCATATTATTTTATTACTTTTAAAATACACTTTTAAGTAAGTCTAGTCGTTGTCGAAGCTTCACAACCATAGTAGACCTCGGCATCACTAGAGAGAATCGTTGCTCTCAAGGGTTGATGAGAGAGATAATCAAGATGAAAATACTTCGTTAGCTTGAAAAGAAAATGGATACAATCTTATACATATGACTCTTAGCCATGTCAGATTTATCTTAACACTTGTACTTATATAGAACACGAAGCAACTAATACAAATCAGAAATGATAAGATTATGATTAATAAAAAGGAAAAAATTACAGTAACATTTAATATTCTCCCTCCAGCTGATGAGTTGATATCATCCAATCCTAACTTGGATATAAGCACTTAGAAAGTCAAACCATTTAGTACATCTATAAGTTATTGTCTCTTAGTTGTTGTATTAAGAGATGTCAAATTTAGTATTTATTAAACTGAATTCAGATTAAACTAAATCAAGTACTTGTAGTGAGTTCAAGTTGATTCTACAAGAAAAATAACAAATCTGATTATATTTTTTTGTGTTCTTTAAATAAATCTAAATCTAAGCAAAAGAAGAAAGAAACAAAGGAGAAGTGGAGTAGAAGAAAGGTTCTGTCCTTGATCAACTGTAACTAAGATGATTAGCTTTTGTCCTCCCTCTTAGTGTCCCATTCTTGATCATGTGGGAAAAATTAGAGGAATGAGATAGCCTAATCCATAGATAATAAAGAGAGCATGTAAGGAGAGAGATGAGAAAGAAGAGTAAATCGTGAGGAGAGAGAAATGAAGACTTGTCAGTTGAGAAACACACAATATATTTTGGGTATCTAATATGAAATTAGATGTGAAACAAAGAAAACTAGGAGTAAAAAACAAAGTTAGAATTGATTCAACAAAAGGAAACATTCAAAAATAAAATTAAAATAAATTAAGAATTAAAAATCCCCATCAAAACATAGAAAATGAGGTGGACAAATGAATCCAAAATCTACTGTGAATTGATATTTTTTTTTATCATAATTCAATGTGTAAATGAGAATGGGACTAATCTGAACTCAAGAACATAAAGAATCGAGCATAAAACGAATTGAGAATCAGGATTTTCACCCTCCAATGCTAAGGACAAGTGAGTGAATGAATTCTAGAAAAATCACAAATAAAAACCCTAGAAATCAATTGCTTCCTTGATTTATTCAGCTTTCACCTAAAAAAATCAGGGAAACATATTCCAAATGAAGAAAAATCAGATTTAAATCACAAAATATGATAAGAAATCTACAAAGAATTTGAAGAACATTGTTGTCTGTCATTCGGGGGGAGGAGAAATAACCATCCATTTTGCACCCCAAATCATATGTTTTATAATTAAATTATATCTAAAATTGATATCGGGCAGTTGGGAATCAAACTACTTAAAAATTAATTGATTTTCAATGAATCAAGATTTCATTTCTCTACCCATTACTCTACCCTTGGGTCATTGATAAATATTTATTTATCACTAATAATTAGTTATCTCTTTGATTTTTGCATTAATGAAACATAATAAGTATGAATTACTATATCTTATCAATAACTCTAAACTTAGTTATATCTACATCATGTATTTATGAATTTAATTACTAGAATTTTCTAAGCTTTTTCTAAGCTGTATCTCAATTTATCAAGAATAGGGGTTTAAAATTTTATTCCAAGGAGATTAATTTCTATAAATTTGCTAGAGTGAGAAGGATTAACATGAAATTTTAAAGCTCAAAGGCCCCAAACATGAGACAAGGTAGACTGGGAAATAAAAAAAATTGAACACAACATCCCAAAGATTAGACTTAATTAGGCCACATGAAGTATAGAGAAAGAAGGCCCAAAAAGACATGGGTAGATAAACTTTGGAGTGCGCAAATAGAAAGGGGCCTTTTTCACACTCAAACAAGAGTGCAAATAGATTGGGTGATATACAATTGAGGTTTTAGGGTTACAAATACGATCTCTCCACCTTTTTTATTCATTTCATAGCTCCTTAGACTCCCTCTTATTTTGTAGATGATGAATATTATTTAAGAGATGACATTTCATTGAGTTTCTAGTGAGTTATTCTTCTCTATCTTTGATTTCTCAGGTTTGAACAGTGACACCATGGCAAAGAAAGGAGATCTATATCAACTCATACAGTTTGTTTTAGGTTTATGATTTTTTCTGAATACCTTATTTTCTTATGAATCTAATGAATATTTTTTTTTTTTGAAATATCATGTTTTGGTGATTTGGTGACATAATCATGAAACATATCATTAGAAATTATTTTCTAAGTAAGCAAATGAGATACGTATCTAATTATGCAGTTTCTTTTAGATTTATGATTTTTTATGAATACCTTAAAAATTTAATGAATGTTAATATCTTAGTTAATACATGATGTGCACTTATCATAGTGTTTAAATGCACATTATCTAATAATATTTATAACTAACATAATAAAATATTAGTATAGAAGTAACTCTCAAGTCGAACATAGAGAGATTGAATAATCCGTCACGAAAACTAATTTAGTTTATATATAAAGTGATTTAAATATTTTATTAATATTTAATAAAAATAATAAAATAGAAAGGTAAGGTGAGAAGAATAAAGGAAGGAAAGTGGAGAAAGGAAAGAGCAAAAGAGAGAGAAGAGAGAGCTCTCATGAAGGATGAGAGAAGAGATCTCTTGTGAAAGAGAGAGAAAGAGAGGATTCTCTCACATGAGACATCTCACAAGAGAGAGAGAGAGAGGGAGATTGATCAATGGAGAGAAGCAACAAGAGACCTAGAGAGAGAAAGAGAGAGAGAGATCTCACGAGAGATGGAGAGAGAAGAAGAGGTCTCACAAGAGAGGGAGAGAGAGAAATAAGATGATAATAAAGAAAGAGAGAAATATGGTCAACTCATTTTCATGGTCAGCCTATTATGTTTGAGAATTCACATACATAACATTAGGTTAGCTACGAATGTCTTCAACCTGTTTAAACCATTGAACGCTCATTAATCAACCTTTAATCTCAGTGACTTCGCATTCGAAAATAGAAAAATACTCATTATTCGTAAAATATCAGAAACATGAATACATCAAGATTCAACTGTAAACATTACTAGAAAATAAGTTATAAATGATTTTTTCTTGATCTCAAATGAGTTTCGGGGGATTCAGAAGAAGAATGAAGATCATTTATCAAGTTTTGAATTAGTTCTATACATTTCAATTGAAACATATATGAAACGGAAATAACTTACTATAAAATGTGAATAAATGATAAAAGTAGATAAGTAAATATTGAAAGTAGTAAATAAATTATTTTCCAAGTTTAGTTTACATCCTAGGCAACTAGAGACATTGGTGTGGTGGCTTCATTTTTTCTAGACGTGCCACATCATTCCGAAAGTTGTAGAAGTGTCGTCTAGAAGCGCTGCACCACTTGCCAGAGAGATCTGCCGAAAGGAGGAGTCGACCACACTATCACTGTCGTCTGGGGGGGAGAAGGGAAGAGTTGACCACTCGTCAGAGGCCTTGAGTATAGTCGAGTGTTAAAGCTAGAATTATGTGTTTTAATTAGTTTTATTATTTGATTTTATTGTGTTAACTTGCAGAATAAATATAAGATATATTGTTAATTTTAGAAGTTTGAAGTTAGAATACTTAGCATAATTTTTAATTATTAAAAAATATATATAAAAAAAATCTTCTACTTACTAGCAAGCTAACACTTGGTAGTTGACTTGGAGGGGGGGCAGCGATCAAGTAAGTAGACCTAGACCAAGGGAGCCACAAGCTGGGCTTGCTCGAGTGGTGAAGGCCTCGCTCCGCGCATGTGTGCGTCGCTCCCCTTCCATGTCCTAGTGTGCGCGCGCGAGGGCGAACCACCTTATTGTCTTCTCCCAAGATGGTCTTGGGCATTATTTTATTTTGAGGAGAAGGGATCTCTACTAAGAGATCGTAGCTTTAGTTTATATTCAACATATCTTTCAAAATATTTCTGATGTGGGACGAAATGTTTTCGTTTGTTTTAACGCAGCCATCTAGAGCGCGGTGTGATCCAACGGTACGTAGAGAGCCACATCATCTAATTAGCCTGATCCTACGACTGGCAAACCGCCACGATACCAGATGTGTAAAGCGATCCATCGGCAGATTCGTGAATCTGACACCACTGAGCATGCACGTGGCCTTAAAGGCTGATCCGATGACTATGGAGGTGCCATGGTATTGAAACTTAAGTTTTTGATTGGTAGTGGTTCGCGGCAGGTTGATCTTGTGTCGCTTAGAGTGCCACATGACCAAACTCATCTGATTTAGTGGCTCAAGGAGTGCCACGATACTAGAACTTAAGTTCTCGCACGTATCACCATCATGGATATAAAGATAATAATTGATTATTGTCTAGTAAAACAAACATTATTGATTATCTTTAAAATCCCGATGATAGTTGCAAATACAACAATCCGTTCTTCCCTCATTTGGCGCAATCGATGTCTCTGGTGATCAGCAAGCTTCTTCCTTCCTTCCCCAACTGCACTCAAGGCCTTCAGTGAGTGTTCAGCTCCTCCCTTCTCCCTCTAGACGATGGTGATAGTGTGGTCGACCCCTCTTTCGACAGATCTCTCTGACAAGTGGTTGACGAGACTAAATCGTATGGTCGTTGAATGCACACGATTCAGTGTCAAAACAAAGTCCTAATCTTACCAATTTATGATTAATCAAAGTAATTAATTAGTATAATGGTAATTAAGGGTCGAATCCACAGAGAATTAGGGAAATTTGAGAGATATCTTTGAAATTCGGTCAAATCGGACGATGAAATTAGGTTAGAAATTGGGCAATTTAGTATATTAAGAAAGATAACTCAATTTCGAATCCACGGAATCAAAAATCAGGTGATTTGGATGAGAATTCGAAGAGTAATCGAAGTTTGAAGTTAAGAGAAATTTTCGTATCGCGAAATGATTAAAAACAGAAATTAAAACTAAATTAAACTTAATCTACAATACTTAAAGTAAAATTAACACTAAATGATGAAATATTAAGATGAAAACAAATAATCTAACCCAAATTAGCCTTCGAAATGATCCAATTAATCGCCGGATGCAAGGCTTTTCATTCCGAATTTTCGAAGACGAAAGAGGAGTTCAAGACTTGATTTCTTCCAATTCTTTCAATCAAACATTGAAATTAAACATCCAACAGAAGCGGAAATGAGTTTGGAACACAATGAAAAAGATGGCGCGCGAATTGGAGCTCTAAACAAAGAGAATTTGAAGATTGATTGCGGGCAGTTCTTCCGTCGCGAAGAACGGATTTTATAAAATTCGGAAATGATCGTGGCCGTCCGATCTGATGGAGTTGATCGCGATGGACGATCGCGATGAGACGCCTCTTCACGAATCGTCGCGACGATTCGACGATCGTCCGATCGTGATCGTGCGGTTAAGATGTGATTGGATGTCCATCTGATGTAAATAATCTGGACCGTTATAACTCTCGATCAGACGGTCGCGATTTATTCACTTAAGTGAGTATTTAGGTACGTGGTTGATCTCTAATCGCGTGGACCTCGATTCCACGTGATCTACGCACGCTATTTGTCGCGATGTCGATCGGACGCACAAGATCACGCCATGCGTCCTGCACATAAGAAAATTAAGGGACTTTAGTTCCACAGGGGAAAAACAAAGGAGTATATTCGGGTATATAAGATATGACGATTAAGAGGGATTAATACTTTGTCTTCCGATAATTGGAAGACCTATATACTTTATTAAATAAATATATATAGTAAATATAAATACGCCACATGTCACATCAGCGCGACGCAGGCGCCCGCGTGCTGTCCACGTGGCAGAGCCACATGGCCCCGAGTACCACGTCGCATCCACGTGTACACGCGCGACATATAACCCCTTTTTGCGATTTTTTAATTAATTTAAAACATTTAAAAATCGAAAATAAATATAAATAAATTCAGAAAAATTCTAGAAAATTCTATAAAATTGTAAAAATCATAACTTTCAAAATACGACTCCAAATTAATTCAAATTTGTTTTGTTGGATTCAAAATTGAATAATCTACCATTATGCTCAAATTATTAAAATAAGAAGAGAATAAATTTTAATTAATTTTATAAATTTATGTATTATATATAATAAATTTATATAAATACATAAATGTTAATAAATATCTTTTCTCTCATATTTTCACTCTTAAAACATGATTATGATCATAAATATAATTAGGATTAAATATTTTAATGTGTAATTATTTATAATAATCCATAATTTGGTGTATTTTAAGATCATAACATGAATTTACACAAAATGATAGAAATATACTTAAAATATGATAACATGCATATATTTGTAATGATTAATGCCTTAATTTGCATTAATAATTATATAATTACATGCATAAATAGCATGTTATCACACCCCCCAACTTGAATAATTGCTAGTCTCTTAGCAATTCACTAGGTAATCTCCTTAGAAAGTCTTATCATCCCTTGATCCTGCAACTAAAGAAGTGAAGTGTATCAATGTGTGATCAACTTTTCATCATAGTGTGGACCATGGTGATCTAGATTCCATAACTAGGTTGACTTCCTTAGAGCATATTAGGGTAGTGCTCATCAGCTAATAGTCGAGTCATTATTCAAGTGTAATCGAGGTGAGCACATCTAAGGTTTGATGCTATGGGAATGAAAAGATTCTCACACTCTCATGAGCAGATGTAATCCTCACCTCTCTAGTTCTCACATCACTCTTTCACTCATTTGGAGGCTACTTGGTGCATTAGAATTCCCCTCAACTCTTCTTTCTCCTTTAAAGAGTGCATTGCAAAAGGATTTCCTATTTTAGGATGCATCGTTATAAGGTAGCTGAAAGAGTAAAAAGACACTATTTCTAAAGGAATAACTTGGTTAAAAGCAAATATCAGCATATAAACAAATTAGATATTATATACAAAGAAAAGGTACCACTGATGTCTAATTATTCTCCCAAATGATGTGGATGATGGTGGTAGATAAGGATTGATAGAAAGTGGTAGAGATGGTGTGGAGTGGTAAAATTGATATATACATTGGAAATGGAATGAAGGTAATGGGTAGAGATAGGTATTTACATGGTAAAGATAATTTCCCATATTGTTCTCCTTCTTTTCACTTTCTTATTCCTCTCTTTCTTTTCTCCTTATTTTCTTTCCTTCTTTCTTTTTGTCTTCTTCTTTTCTTCATTTCATATTTGCTTCTCTTTTTTTCTTTTTCTTTTTTTTTTTCTTCTCTTCTTTCTTCTTTTTGTATATTGTAACTTTTTGGAGAAGAAGAAGATAACATTTGAAGACTTTGCATAAAACAAGGATATGAAGGTTGTCTTGATGTTTGAAGAGAGTATTCGAAATTTTGAAGTGTAATATGAAGGAATATTTACTTGTAAGAGAAATTGTGAAGAAGATGGATGGCTTGTATAGATGGTGGAAAAGAAAATGTGGTGGATATGTTTATCACTTGGGAGTGTAATTATAATCAGTGAAGCTGAAATTTGGGTGTCTAATTGACTGGTATGGAAAAGGTAGAACTAAATGCCTAAAGGGTAGAATAGGTGCATCATAAATTATGGCACATTGCACTCTTCTAGGAGAAAGTTCGGAAGCGAGAAATTCCTACACCAAGTAGGTTCGGCTGATGTAAGGTAGGGGATGGAAATTTGCTTGAACTTCACTCAAAATCTCTCCTTTTCAATCCAATAGCACTTCAACCTCTGATTACTCATTTTCCTCGGTGCCTGCTAGATACCCAACCCCGAACAAGTCAACCACTAAAAAGAATCCATAGTTTCTCTAGATCACTTGGCTCTATTACTAAAAATGTAATCACATGGGCTATGAGGCCCTCACTTTTACATCTCTAGGAATAGGATCTCAAAATGTTTAAGACTTCTAAGGTGTTTAAAAGTAGTAAAAAATTGAAAAATAGGAGTTTTAAAATAGTAAAAAGTTTGAAAATTTTGAAATTTTGAAAATTTTGAAAATTGAAGTTTTTCTACATCCTCACCCCCCAACTTAAATCTTTCATTGCCCTCAATGAAACCATTATGCATATTAAAAAGATGGCAACACTATCATACATTACATGAAAAAGATTATAAATTGAAATGAGAAGTAAAAAGGTTTAGAAAAACTCATTTATGCGTGTTGACGCATATCGCTGGAATTTGTCCAAATTGCTTGTTGTTGTAGGTGGATTCCTCCAACTATGTATGTACATTGATATAACTACAAATAAGAACTAAATAAAATAGTAAGATAATCTTGGGGTGCCTCCCAAGAGCGCTAAGTTTAACGTCTTCAGCCAGATGAAACTTAGTGAACTACAATGATCGATGAGATGAGGGTGTTACCTTTATCACGTCCTCATGTACCTCGGGGAGATGCAGATTTACCTTATCTGCTGGTGTGGGTGGCTCTGTTGTAAGGTAGGGCTTTAGACGATGCCCATTTACCTTGAATTGTTTGTCGGATTTAGGGTTGGAAATAAGCACTGATCCGTTGTCAAACGATTCCACAACCACGTACGGACCGTCTCATCGTGAGCGCAACTTACTTGGAAAAAGCTTAAGGCGAGAGTTATATAACCAAACCTTTTCATTGACGTTGAAAGTTCTTCTTCTGATGTTCTTGTCATGGAAGGCCTTGGTCTTTTCTTTGTAGAACTCCGCGTTCTCGTATGCGTCACGCCTTAACTCCTGTAATTCCTGCAGCTGGAGAAGTCTATGTTTACCTGCTTCGTCCAAAGATAGGTTGAGCTTCTTTATTGCCCAATAAGCTCTATGCTCGAGCTCAACTGGCAGATGGCACACCTTCCCAAATATGAGTCGGAACGGAGACATCCCGATAGGTGTCTTGTAAGCCGTTCTATACGCCCATAATGCATCTGGAAGCTTGTGCGCCCAATCCTTACCGTCTAGTCGAATGATCTTCTTTGAAATATTCTTGACCTCTCGGTTGCTCACTTCAACTTGCCCATTAGCTTGGGGGTGGTACGGTGTAGTGACGCAATGATGTACTCCATATTTCTTTAATAATGCACGAAAGTGTGCATTGTTGAAGTGCGAGCCTCCGTCACTGATTATGGCCCTCAGACAACCGTATCGGGAGAAGATGTTTCTCGTTACAAACCTGAGTACTTCCCGATGAGTGTTTGTCCTAGTGGGAATAGCCTCCACCCACTTAGACACATAATCAACCGCTACCAAAATATACTCTTTCCCATCAGAAGGTGGAAAACGTCCCATAAAGTCGATCCCCCATAAATCAAATATCTCCACTTCAAGGATAGGCCTCATTGGCATTTCATCTCGCTTGGAGATGTTTAATGCTGCCTGGCATTGTAAGCACTCCGTATAGAAACGGTGGGCATCCTTGAAGATGGTGGGCCAATAAAAACCGCTTTGTAAAATCTTATATGCTGTCTTTCACGCGGCAAAATGTCCTCCATACGCTGATGAGTGACACATCGATAATATGCTTCCTTGTTCTTCTTCCGCTACGCATCACCGTATAATTTGATCGTATCCTACATGGAACAAAAGTGGTTCTTCCCAATAATAATATTTGAGTTCATGGAAGAACTTATCTTTACGATGCTGGTTCCAATGATCTAGGATCGATCCTGTCACTAGAAAATTGACGATATGCGCGAACCAAGGAGCATGACTAGATACTGCAAGAAGATGCTCATCAGGAAAAGAATCACTAATATCTCCCGTACCTAAAATGTGAAGACGAGATAGGTGATCTGCCACCGAGTTTTCGCTGCCCTTCTTATCTCTAATCTCCAAGTCAAACTCTTGAAGAAGCAGCACCCATCGTATCAATCGTGGCTTCGCCTCCTTCTTGGAAAACAAGTACTTTAACGCTGCATGATCTGTATAAATAAAAATCTTGCTTCCCAAGATGTAAGGCCTGAACTTCTCTAACGCGTAGACCACCGCTAAGAGCTCCTTTTCTGTCGTCATGTAATTCATTTGAGCTTCAGCAAGGGTCTTACTCGCATACCATATAGCTGTTGGCTTCTTATCTATCCGCTGTCCCAACACCGCTCCAACTGCATAGTCTGAGGCGTCGCACATGATCTCGAAAGGCAAGTCCCAATTAGGACTTTGAAGAATTGGTGCTTCGATCAAGGCGAGCTTCAACATCTCGAATGCGCGCTCCCCTTCTTTATCTATAAAAAAGTCTTTATCCTTGCAAAGAAGAGTGGTTAGCGGTTTGGAAACTTTAGCAAAATCTCGTATAAACCTGCGGTAGAAACCAACGTGTCCTAAAAAACTATGTAAATCTCGTAATGTAGTGGGGAGAGGAAGGTTTTGAATGACCTCAATCTTGGCCTTATCAACCTCCAAACCTTTGCCCGAGACGAGATGCTCGAGCACTACTCCCTCTCGCACCATAAAATGGGATTTCTCCCAACTCAATACTAGTCGTTTCTTGACGCAGACCTCGAGGATCTTTGTCAGGTGAGTTAGATAGCTGTCGAAATCATCTCCAAAGACAGAGAAATTGTCCATGAAGACTTCGAGACTGTCGCCAAGGAAATCGGAAAATATCGCCGTCATACATCTCTGGAATGTCGCAGGGGCGTTACACAATCCGAATGGCATTCGCCTAAATGCGAACGTGCCAAAGGGACATGTGAACGTCGTCTTTTCTTGATCGTCCGGATGAATCGCAATCTGGTTGTACCCTGAATAACCATCCAAGAAACAAAAGTAAGTCTGACCTGCTAGTCGATCAAGGATTTGATCGATGAATGGCAACGGGAAGTGATCTTTCTTCGTCGCTGCATTCAACTTCCGGTAGTCGATACAAACTCGCCACTTTGTTGGGAGGCGTGTTTGAATCTCCTCTCCTTTGTCGTTCACGGTCACCGTAACTCTTGCCTGCTTGGGAACCACGTGCACGGGACTAACCCACTGGCTATCCGATATGGGATAGATAATCTCTGCATTAAGCCACTTAAGAATCTCTTCCTTAACGGCTTCCCATACCTTAGGATTAAGTCGGCGTTGGGCTTCCCTCACAGGTCTGGACTCGTCCTCCAAGAATATGCGATGAGTGCATAATGAAGGGTCTAATCCCCTCAAATCTGCTAGAGTCCATCCGATTGCTTGCTCATTCCGTCGTAATACGTCGAGTAATCGTTTCTCCTGCTCCTCATTGAGCTGGGAAGAAATGATCACTGGTTTAACCTGCTGAGAGTCAAGGAAAGCGTACTTGAGTGTAGATGGAAGAGGCTTGAGCTCCCCTGTCGGATCGTCCAACAGTAGCTCCTCAAAATCAGCTCCCTTGTTGACCGTCATGACTTCTTCGATGCAAGTCTCTATGTCTTGATCATCAAATAGGTCGATGACGCCCAAATCTTCGAAAGCTTGTGAAGGATACTTCATCAACTTGTTGATGTTGACCTTCACCATATACTCTCCCACCTTAAGAATCACTTCTCCTTTTCCCCAATTTGTAACGGCTTTTGCGGTAGCTAAGAAAGGTCTTCCTAGGATAATTGGGGCTTGACTAAGCTCCTTAGTGATCTTCATATCTACAACTAGGAAGTCTACCGGAAAATAACATCCTTCTATTCTAACAATCACATCTTCTACTATGCCATGAGGCTTCCTTACTGATCCATCCGCTAAACATAACTCTATAAGGAAAGGCTGCAATTCCCCTACATGATGACGGTCATATACAACTTTAGGGAGGATATTGATACTAGTTCCGGTATTTAACAACGATCTAGTAAAAATCATTCCTCCAATCTCACTCGTAATCATGGGAGCTCCTGGATCTCTCTTTTTAATAGGAAGAGAATTCATCATAATGGAACTAATATTCTCACTCAATTGGATCCTCTTGGGGCTTCTATGGTGTGTGCATATGCCTTTAAGGAATTTAGCATAAGAAGATATATGCTTAATTGCATCTACTAAAGGGATGGTAATGGTAACCTTTTGGAAGGTTTCTAATAAATGATCATCAGATTCACTAACCTTAGCCTTAGGCTTACTCAATACTTGAGGATATGGCATGGGTGGTTTGTATGTATCTGGATTTAGCTCAACTTGTACCCGTTCTTCCTCATCATCTAAACTACTGTCTGGCTCTACTACGACTGTCGGTGTCTCATCATCTATCGAGCTCTTATGTAAAGGATGATCCTTGTAAGGATCAGGTAAATCCTTGCCGCTCCTAAGGCTCGATATCGCTAATGCAGCTTCCACTTCCTCCTCGTCAACATGCACATGACTCAGATTGTGCGTTTGACTCGATGAGGACCCTTGATTCCTCGGGTTGATAGTGGCCTGCGATGGTAATTGGTCAGAAAACAAAACTTGCTTACCCTTCTTATTGTCAGTCGAGGTAGGGATGTTCGTCTTGACGAAATCCTGTATCTCGTCCACACGCGAGTTCATCCTGCTCATTTGCTCCATCAACTGAGAGAGCGCACCCAGAATCAGATCTACAGATGGTGCGGTCGGTCGTGGAGCTTGGTTGTACGACTGCTGTGGTGGAATATACGTCGACTGTCTTGCATTCGCGTAGGGTTGCTGTTGCGAGTTTTGTTGCTGACCGGTGCTATATGGAGGATACGTCTGATCCGTACTCCTCCTAAATCCTTGCTGCTGCTGCTGCATAGGATTATAAATAGGGTTATTAAAATAATTTGGATATGTACCTTGATAGTTCGGTCGTCCCTGTTGAATTTGCCCTCCTGGTGGGCCTTGTCTGTACATGCCCTGCCCTTGAATTGCCATGATCGGACAATCCATCTCGACGTGGTCGAGGCGTGAGCAATGGGCGCATGGCGACGCTTCTTGTAGAGTGACGGGTGCAAGTCCTTCAGATCCATTGCGGATGTGGAACCGATCTAATAAAAGATTCTGAACCTCCGCCATCTTGTCGATCTTCTCTAGGAGCATGCCCGTCTCTACCGCCTTTGCGTCGATTAATCCTCCTTTCGGCGTTGCACCACTTCCGAATGGTTTTGCCGAGTTGTGGTGGCTATTTTCCGCCACAGTCTCGATCAATTCCATTGCTTCATCTTCAAATTTGCTCATGAAGGTGCCGCCGCTAGCTGCATCCAAAAGATATCTATCTTGCGGGCCTAACCTATCATAAAATATCTATGTAAGCTCATGGTTAGACACTCCATGGTGAGGGCACTCTCTAGTGAGGTCTCTAAGTCTCTCCCAAGCTTCGTGAAATGTCTCACTCGGTCCTTGGGTAAACTCACGCATCGCCTTCCTAACAGAGGTGGTCTTTCCTACGGAATAGTATTTCCTAAGAAATTCCTCCTCCATCTCAGTCCAAGAAGTGAACTCCTTTCCTAACTTAAGAAACCAATCCTTAGCTCTATCTCTAAGGGTGGCGGGAAAGAGTTTCATCTTCATTACATCTGCCGACACATTATGAATCTGATTAATCTCACATACTTGACTAAGCTCGTCGACATGTCTATAAGGATCCTTGGAAGGTTTACCATGGAAGATAGGTAACATACTCATCACATGCGAATCTATCCTAAAATTCGCATTTCTAGCTAAGGGTGCATGAATACGAGTAACGGGTCTTTGAAGAACAGGCCTAGCATAATCACTCAGGCGTCTCCTAACATTTCCCTCATCATTCAGGGCCATATCTAAGGTCGATGATGACGCGGAAGATGAAAGTGATTGCGAGGAACGTTCAAAAAGATCTAAGTGTAAAGGATTATTCCTCGTTCTCCAATCAGACTCTAGTCTCATAAATATGCACAAATATATATAATATAATAATACTAAGAAGAGATACTATAAAATTATTCAACAATGATAAATTTAATCGTACCTGATTGTCGCTATTCGTCAGAGTTACGCTCTCCTAATTCGAGTATGATGCGATGATTGTCCGTCGTCCGTAGAGAGGGACTAATCACTTAATCTCGTCGAAATTGACTATCTAAACGATATATTTCTGCTACAAATAGCTCAGTGTAGGATCAATTTGGATTAAAATCAAAAAAAGAAACAGAAAAATCAGAGTTGACCGAGTCAAAATCGATGATTTTACTCAAAAATACACCTTAATTCCCTGGCAACGGCGCCATTTGACGAGACTAAATCGTATGGTCGTTGAATGCACACGATTCAGTGTCAAAACAAAGTCCTAATCTTACCAATTTATGATTAATCAAAGTAATTAATTAGTATAATGGTAATTAAGGGTCGAATCCACAGAGAATTAGGGAAATTTGAGA